TGAGTCTAGTATATAAACTCAAAGTCTAGGGTTCCACGGGTCATTTTCTTTTCCCAAAACTCAGCCGCTACTCCACTTGCCTAGTGTTCTAGTCGTCCGCCTACACTCCTCCACCTGACCACGCCCGCTCACCCCCAGTCCGCACGCCTCCATGCCGTCCGACAGCCCCCAGCACCAATAGGAAGCCTACCACCCACCTATAGGAGTATGAAGAAGGGACATGGGAGCGGATGCCAGTAGACCAAGTACCCTGGATCTGCAACCCCCCTCCCCCACCCCTAATCTGCTCGCCATGTCTCTTCATCGACGGATCTGCAATGTATCAATGGCGGTTACATATGCGTACCATGAGTGCGAGCATGGGTGCCAGATCTCACCTGTGGTAGACGACATGTGTGGGCACTGATTTAGAGATTACATCGCGGGTGTGGGTTGTTGAGGCTCTACTCGCGTGTAATGTGCCCGTTAACATCCCTAGAAACTACGACACATGCTAGCCGAGCATACTTGTCTTGGTGCTCATATATTATGTTTATCCATCATGTTGCGGTTAAACTTTTTTTCCACATTACAAAAACCTACAATATGATCACACTTAATTAAGCTTTTAACTTAATCTTGTAAATTTAGTATAATATAAAAAGTGGCCATGAAAAGGTTAGGGCCCGTTTGTCGCGGCTCCAACACCTGCTTTGCGTGCGGCTCTGACACCAGAGCAGGCGAAGCCACATCAAACTGAGTCCTTTAAGAGAACGGCTTCTAGCGCTAAATATATACGCCGTTTTGTGGTACGGAGCGGAGCACAAAAAACAACTTCATCGAAAGGGCTTCGACTTCGACACCGAAGCCGCACCAAACGAGTACTACCGGGCATGGAGGTTGGAATCTGGAATCAAAGTGGCGTACGTACGTTATGGGGAACTTTGCCCGTGCTGTGCTGGACATCCCCAAGTGACGTGCTGGGACCAGACCGGCCGGACAAGTTGGCAGGATCTCAAGACGGTTGATGATTTTACCTGAGTGCGTGGGCGGGCGAGCAGTCCACAACGTGGCCAGTGGCCACACCTGCAAGCTGCAGCCGGCCCGACCGGGCTGATGCTGATGATCCCCCACCCGCGCACGCAGCAGGAGCAGGCAGGCTGCCGAGGCTTGACGGGGGCGCTACGCCTTTGACTCGATCGGTCGGGGCCGGGCCGCCGGGGCCCCGCGCGGGTCACCATCGCGCGTGGCTCGCGGTACTCCGTGTCGGCGATCGGGGGCGAGCGAGACGACGACCCGGCGGAGGCAGGGCCAGGCGTCAGGGGTGGTTGTGTTGCCGAGGCCCCACGTCGCACTGTCGCAGCGGCTCTTCTACTAGCTCCGTCCGGCTCAGCGCGCGCGCACCAATGAACACACCGCTGCTGGTGCTGCTGCGGGTTCCTAACCCTTCGGCTTTTTATTCCTCGCTGGCTGCACTCCCTGCCCCCCGGAACCGGAACGATCAGCCTGCCAAAAACCAAAGCCGCGAACGCGCCGGCGCCGCCCGCTCGCTCGTGGTGTTGCAGTTGGTCTACGATTTCTCCGTCTCCTAGCCGTGTGTGGCTGGCTGCGCCTGCGCGTAGATCCAGGGAACACAAAAGGGCAACCGATACCGATCCAATCGTGCTCAAACCGGAGGATCCTCGGCGGCGCGCGAGGGTGAGGCCCATGTCTCGGCGGTAGCCGCCACCCGTCCACGTGCCGCAGCGGGACGTTCGGACCCGATCCATCAGCCGAACAGCGCGCGGGAATCAGCGGGACTCCGCCGAACGGCGCAAACGACGGAAGCGACGCCCCGTATATCCCGTGTGCCCTCCATTCTAACAGATTTTCATTGCCGGGCTTTATTATGTGTTGCTCCGGCCCATTAACAATGATACTTTTCTTTATGCGTTCGTGTTCGTTACTTAGGATTGCTTTCTTTTATATAATATATATTTTTTTTCTACTTCCTTTTTATATCTTTTGCCTTTTGTCATTTTATATTTTTTTCTTTTCTTTTCTCTAATTCATTCTTCTTCCGTACTTTTTTTTACTTTTTATTTTCCTTTTTGTTTTCGGTAGTTCTTTATTCTTCTTTCATCTTTTATATTTTTATCTTTCTTTCATTTTTTTCTTTTACTATAATTAATTATTTTCTTTATTTTGTTTTTATTTTCATGTTTTATTATTTTATGTTTTCGTTTTTTTCTTTTCTCTTCCCTTTATGTTTCTATTGATTTGTTCATTCTTATTCTGTTTTATTTTTCTCTTTTTATTATATTGTAATTATATTTTTCTTTTCATATTTTCTTTTTTGTTTTTTATGTACATATTATTATGTTCATGCATCATATACTATTATGTTCATATGGTGTTCTGTGATATATTTTGTGGTGTTCACGTTGTATATATATAGTGTGCTATGATATATTTTGTGATGTTTACGTAGTATACATACGATGTTCTATGATATATTATATGATGTTCAAGTAGTATATGTATGATGTTCTAGGTATATTTTGTGATGTTTACGTACTATAACATGTGATGTTCTGTGATTTTTTTGTGATGTTCATGTAGTATACAGGTGATATTCTATGATGTATTTTTTTTATATTCACGTGGTATACATGTGATGTTTTATGATGTAATCTTATGATGGTTACATAGTATACATGTGATGCTTTATGATGTTTTTAGAATATTCACATTATATAAATGAGATGTTTTACGATTATCTTTGAGTATTTAAATAGTACCCATGAAATGTTTTATGGTATGTTTTGAATTGTTTTAAGTAGTAATCTCTGTGATGTTTTTAGTGTTTTTAGGTTTTCCCCCTTATTTCATCTATTATTTTTTATTACTATCTTTTTATATTGTTTTTATCTATTACATAGAGGTCATATGGTATATTTATGTCTATATAAGCAATATTCTTGTAAGAGTTGAATTTTTTTTCTTAGATTTAAATGGTCTAATATAGATTACAAATGAAAGTATAAATATTTTATAACTAAAACAGAACATCTACACTGTGTAGTGGTTAGGAATGATTATCTCAATCTTTTGATCTTGTGTTCAACTTCTCCCACACACTATTTTGGTTCTATTTTCTAATATATTTTTTTCTCCGGAGACGGACCGTGAAAGCGACGTAACGTGGGCGAGGCTAGGTGGGCCGAGCAACGCAGGGCGAGGCAGATGGGCCGAGCAACGCAGGGCGAGGCCGTGACGGCGGGAAACCGTGGGCGCGCGCGCAGCCGAATTAATTAATTTATCGGCGAGTGGTTTTCCGTCCGAACGACCCGTGCATAGCAGCTCCCCGTGCCGCAGGCTCATGTGCGATCGGGGAGCGGCAGCCCAACAAGCACCACGGGCAGGCCAGGAACGGGCCGCGCTCAGGGGTCAGGGCAATCGGCAGCGATATCGTCGTCGTCTCTCTCTGGATCTCGTCATGGGACTTGGACTTGTCTGCGCACGCTTCTCGTCCGATCCGCCCACGGCCGCGTGTCCCGGATGGTTTGCCATCTGGCGGAGGTCGGGGACGAACCGGCTCGCTGTGGAAGTGGAACGAACAGTCTGCACTCTGCAGCACGTTGGCGGCCGCGCGCGCGGGACATGTGACCAATGCAAGGGTCTGTGTTGGCTCTGGGTTACGCTCCTCTCAGTCTCAGGACAGGTCGATAGGAGCGCCTGTACTGCCAGTACTGTTGGGCACAGCGGTGTGCAGCATATAAACGACACAAGTGGCGTACGTACGTGGTGTCGCGCCAGCTTGTGCATGGACAACTGAAGGAGCTACAGAAACAAGGGGAGAATCTCTCAGCACAACGCATCTGCTGGTACACTGCAGGTACCTGCTGCTGCACTAGAGCCTGGAGGCACCAACAGGTGCTTGTGTCATCTACCACCGCTCATGCAAAAGATACAGCAATATAAGAGTACCTGCTAGTACTCTGCTACTACAAGCTGTTCTTTGAAGAGCTGAGCAAATCCAAGCAAAGACTGATGAACAGCGACAATTATTCGGGAAAGGCGTGACTGCAGCTAGCTAGGTAGCGTTGGTCACAAACAAGCTGGGCACCAAGCGTCGATGCATCAGGTCGGCAGAACCGAAGTGATCTAGTGCCCATATGAGTTTTTGGTAGTTCCGTTTGTCAGATGCTCGAATTCAGTACCGCCTTTCAGTAGTTCTTCAACGGCTTTCTGAAACACATGAAACCGTATTGTCACAGAAATTAAACGCTAACAGTGAAAAGATGGAAAGTGGTCCATGCTTTTGCGTACCTCAACACATGTCAATGCATACTGAACATCACTGTCTGAAATTTGGTAATGGATGACAAACCTAATACTGCATGACACAGAGTTCAACATAGAGTTTCAGTCAGACTAGGGGTAGCAGTTCTTGTACTATGCAGTCTAGCTTGTTACTGAAAACTGAATACAATGTTGCAAAGACAGCCAAAACAATGTTAGCAATAAAGGATCAACTAGAAGAGTCAACATGTTAAATTCAAAATTACTCAGTAAGAGAGTAGAACTTCACCTTTTTGAACTAGCTGGCATTGCAAGCACATTGTGTTGTTCCAAGACTGCACACAGTTTGTCAGGTGATATTCTTGGATCCATGGTATCAAAGAATACCTTACAAAGAATTGATAGTGCATATAAGACCCTTATTCCAGTTAACAGTGAAAATCAGTAAGAGGATGTATAGCAGGCAGGCTAACCATATTTGTCTCGACCGAAGCTGAATCCACTGCAAGCTGTTCAATTTTCTTCAGTCCCTCTAAGAAAATAAACCAAGACATACAAACTTCAATATTAAAACTCCACAAACAGAACTAATGTTTATGTTGACAAGGACCATGTTCCTTTTTTAACACGAGCGTAATAGTGGTCATTGTGATTTAGATTTTTGAGAGAAAGCAAGTGGATTTTCAGAAATTGTGAGTTGTGATTGTCAAAATGAAATTAAAGTTTTGATTCCAAAATTAAACTACGGAACCTGCCAAAACTTTAGCCTTTCTGTGGTCATCCGCGAGCTTTCCCACAGTTTCACGAACGGCAACATGAGCAGCAGCACAAAGAACTCCCACCTGTCTCATTCCACCACCTAGGGTCTTTCGGAGAATTTTGGCCTGAAGTTTTGTTCAGATTACTGTTATTGCTTGATCTCTGCAGTTATATTTTTTCAATAAAGTTGCATCTCTGCTGTTTAAACTTAGAAATTGATTGATCTGACCTTGTCAATGAAGGCCTTCGAACCAACAATAACTGATCCCACGGGTGCACCTAATCCTTTTGATAGGCATACCTAATTCCGGAGAAAATAAATCGACAAAGTCATATGTTAACTACAGCCAAACATATGCAGGTTGTAGATCGAACACAGTAACCAGCAAATTGAAACATACCGAAACTGAATCAGCAGCTTTGACAAGTCTATCTACAGGAACCCCAAGTGCCTGGCACAATGAACACGATGTGTTAATACTTGATAAGAGGCTAGGACGCTCTGCACACATGTTAAAATTTCTAAGTGAGAAAGGCTGCTATTATGCTTCATGCTTAGATATATATGGTTCATCATTCAGATGTCAACCCTCTAAAATTTTCATCTCCGAAGACAGAACAATGAAACATACATCCTAACTGGTCATTTTCCTAACTCTGCTGCAGATAGTTTCAGAAGCAGATATAAAACTACAGTACATCACATGCATATACAACACTACTCACCACAGACGCGTTAAAGATGCGAGCTCCATCAATATGAAGCTTCAAGCCATGGCTCTTGGCAATTTCACCAACCATGTCAGTGTATTCTACAGATAAACATTTTCCACCAGAACTGCAGAAACAGTTAGAAACATACGAATTAATAAGATGAGAAAAGGTTATATATTCTACTCGGGGGTATCTCAAGTTTTTTTTTTCTCTTCTCTGTTCCCATCCTCTCGACTCCAACGAGAGAAAGGCGGATCTCACAGCGGTTAGAGAGGAGGGTGAAGAAGAAGGTAGAGAAAACCTCGGGTGTGAGAGAGATGGGGAAGAAACATCGAAATAGGAACAAGATTGGGAACAGGTATCTGTGCAACTCACTTCCCATGTGTGTTCTCCAAGCAGATCAGCCTGGTCGTCGGGTAATGAAGATCAGGATGCCTGATGGCGGCAACGATCTTGTCAATATCCATGGTGCCGTCGGGGTTGTTGGGCACGGTCCTGGGGTGCACGCCGCCGATGGTGGAGATGCCCCCGTTCTCGTAGACGTGGATGTGCGAGTTGTCGCCGAGGATGGCCTCGCTGCCCCTGACGTCGCAGTGCACGAGGACGGAGATGAGGTTGCCCATGGTGCCCGACGGCACGAAGAACGCGGCCTCCTTGCCCATGATCGCGGCCATCTCCGCCTCGAAGCGCTGCGCGGTCGGGTCGGAGCCCAGGACGTCGTCGTCGACGTCGGCGGCGGCCATGGCGGACCGCATGGCCTCGGAGGGCTTGGTGACCGTGTCCGACCGGAGGTCCACCACCTTGCTCGCCATTTGGTGCTGCTCGAACTAAACCTCTAGCTACAGCTCCCTCCGCTGCAGCGGAGCGACAGAGTCCCCCGATAAAATACACACGCCAAAGCTCACGAATTGGATGCTCAAATGGTGCACTGACCACTGCGCTTTGTCTTTGAGATATGGTTTGCTTTCTCCTTCAAAATTGGCAAATCTTTCGCGCTTTTGGAAGTACCAGTATGATGGCTGATGCTCATTGCACTTGCTGCCAACAGAACAGAACACCAACCTGGCAACTACTGCCTACAGATCTACACGCAAGAGGCCAAAAAAAGCGAAAGCCACAAGGACAAGGCATCGCCACCGCTCAGAGTCACCCCGTCCAGGACGCCCGCTCGCTCCCAAACGAACCAAACAGGCGAGGGAGTCAGGGAGACGACCCTGACGTCGTCGTCCTCCACACGCACACGCCGACGCCGTATGCGTCCAGGTGCGCCGTGTGCAGACTACAGACTGCACTGGTCACTGGAAAGAAAGGGACACAGACCAAAGTCTGATAGTGATCGCCCACGCCAGCTACGAGCTGCGGCGCTGTGGCCCGTGCCACGCATTCAGTCAGTTATTAGAAGTCTATCAAATTTCAAAATGGACAAAGACAATACAGAGGATCGCACGCACAGCTCCATGCTCCAAGAACGCTCTAGAGGGCTGAAAAGAGGCAGGTGGTCTATAAGATTCTGCATAAATACCGCATCAAATCTGTTGAAGTCCCTGGATTATCCGATGAACATCAGTAAGCTGCGCATGTATTGATGCTTCATTATTCTAGTCTTATGTTTTTGTTATGAACTTCGATTTTGATGATCCCGAATTTGTTGAAAAGTTTATGAAAATATCTACAATTTGAATTGATATTATACCCATTTGACCTATTATAAAGTCACGAGACAAATCCAACTCAATCTTTATCCCGACTTTAATATCTCCCTTTATTTTTTATTATTACTTGTGCATCCCTATAACCTTAGAAAATACGTGAACACATATTCGCCCGGTTCGTTTGGGCTTGTTTGGATGATAAGCCATAGCTGAAAGTACTGTTGGCTAATTTGGTGTGAGAGAAAAATATTGTTCGTTGGCTAAAAAAGTACGACTTATAAGCCAAACAAGCCCAAGCGAACAGGACGATTGGTCCTTGTAACTGTGTTATCACTAAAATCATCAAAACCATATATAATCATGCACATTGGCTCATAATCCTTACAACAGACCACATTGCTAGTTAAGTACAACGGCGCATAAGTCCCTATCATACAAGCTTTTCACTAATATAGGGTCATTAGCAGACTTGTTAAATACTGTACACACAAAGAGCCTCCCATACAGAACACTAGGTCCTAGGACATTTGACACGGCAATAGACAAGTAATCCTAATCCCAGATATAAACCACAGTGCAACCAGCTTTCAGATGGCTTTGGAAGAGCTCCTGCCAAAGTTAACGGCATCTTTTGGCTACATCTCTGTTTTTTGAAACGAAGCATAAAAGATCTACTAAGAAGAAGAAACATGGAACTTCGCAGTTACAACTGTGCCCTCTGTGATTCCAACACGGTCAAAACTCTGGAGCACTTATTCATAAGTGCACATTTGTCTCTGAGTGCTGGGCCACTTAACCTAGTCTTCCAACAACAAGCGAACCTGTTGGGATCGCAGCTACTCCCTCTGAGATAGTAGTCGTGGAACGTAGGCGGGCAAGGTTTGGGTTCATGGCGGTGGCGTGGGTGCGACGCCATCCTGGCGGCCGGCGTCGAACACGAGCGAGCGAGAGAGCGAGGGCACAAAGGGAGCGGGAGAGATTAATTCAATCTCCAGCTGAATCTCACATTAACCAAGTGTTTAGGCTTTATAGCCGACTCTCCACAAATCACTATCTGACTAACAAATCCAAATTGCCTAACAAATCGAATTCTGAGATCCTAGACTTCAGGAACCGAAGCTGCCCTGAGCGCGGTCACCACGCGGAGCTGTGCGCGCCGTGCTCGTCGCCCGTTGGGCCCTCTCAGCCACGGCTCCGCTTGCGGCGCTGGTAGACTCGGCCCACCATAACATCACTCCCGTCGTCGACAAACAGCTCATCCTCGAACTGGAAGTCAGGGTAGGCCGCGTGGAACGCCTCAACCGGTTCCCATGTGGCGTCGGCTTCGGGCAGACCCGCCCACTGGATGAGCACATGCCACGCGCCACGACGCAGCTGGGAGCGCAGGACGCGTTCAGGAGCTTCGAGCAGACGGTCGTGGCATAGCGGAGGTAGAGCTGGTGTCGCTATTGGAGGCGAGCCATGGAAGGGCTTGAGGACGTCGACGTGGAAGACATCGTGAATGCGCGTGCCCTCCGGAAGACGTAGACGATAGGCGACGTCGCCGACGCGTTCCAGCACCTAGAAAGGCCCGGCATACCACAGGCTTAGCTTGCCCCGCGCGCTCGGCACCAGCGACTGGGCAGGCCGATGGAGGAGGCGGAGCCAAACCCAGTCGTCGACGTTGAACTCCAAGGGGCGGTGATGAGCATCGTAATGGCACTTGCGTAGACCTAGGCTTAGAGTAGACGGTCACGAACATCGACGAGGAAGGCGTCCCTGTCCAGCAGCAGGTTGTCCACCGTCGCCGTGCGCGCCGAGGCCAGCTCGTAAGGCAGCAGGGTCGGCGGCACCAGGCCGTAGACCACGTGGAATGACGTCTTGCATAGGGCGGAGTGGAAGGCGGTGTTGTAGCAGTATTCGTCCCACGGGAGCCACTCCAGCCACGCGCGAGGCCAATCGTCGGTGATGCATCTCAGGTACATGGCAATGGTTTTGTTGACCGCCTCAGACTGGCCATCCGTTTGGTGATGGAAGGCAGTACTCATGCGCAACTGGACGCCTGCCATCTTGAAGAGGTCCCGCCAGACGTGGCCGGTGAAGATGGGGTCGCGGTCGCTGATGATCGACGTCGGGAACCCGTGAAGCCTGACAATGTCGGCGAAGAACGCGCACGCGATGGAGGACGCCGTGTAGGGGTGGGCGAGTGCTATGAAGTGGGCATACTTTGAGAAGCGGTCGACCACCGTGAGTATGAGTGTATGACGCTCTTGCCATTCACCTTGGGGAGCCCTTCAACAAAGTCCAAAGAAATGTCAGCCCAAACCTACGAGGGAACATCAAGGGGCTGGAGAAGGCCGGTGGGATGGAGCGCCTCTGTCTTGTTCCTCAGGCAGGTGTCACAGGCGCGCACGAAGTCATGCACGAGCACGCGATCGCCGTCCACCATGAAGTCGAGGTGGAGGCGCTGCAACATCTTCTGGACACCTTCGTGTCCTGCCATGTGCACGAACTGGAGTACCAGTTGCAGGACCCGTGAGGTGGCGGGGATGTAGACGAGGGAGCCCCGGAGGATGAGGCCGTCCTCGACGTGCCAGGGCGTGCCGCGAGTGGCGGAGATGGTGTCGTGGAGGTGGCACAGCTGGTCATCCTCCTGAAGCTCGGCGCGTAGCTTGTCGTAGAGGCGGAACGTCGGTGCAAAGAGCATGGCTAGGCTTGCCTCTTCGGGTTCACGGCGTGAGAGGGCGTCCGCCATGGTGTTCAAGTGGCCCGGTCGGTACTCCACCGTGAAATCATAGCCGAACAACTTGCTTATCCATTGGTGCTGGGGGACCGTCGAGAGGCGTTGATTGAGCATGTACTTCAGTGCGTAATGGTCGGTGTGGACGATGAAACGACGGCCCCATAGATAGGGCCGCCAATGGCGCAATGCCTATACCAGCCCAATGAGCTCGCGCTCATACGCCGCCACCTTCAAGTTCCATCGGCGAAGGGCTTGCTGTAGAACGCCAGAGGTCCCGTGCCTTGATGCAGGACGGCGCCGAGGCCGGTCCCAAAGGCATCGCAGTCCACCATGAAGGGCTTGGCGAAGTCGGGTAGATGTAGCACTGAGGCGGTGGAGAGTGCCTCCTTAAGCGCAGTGAAGGCCACAGTAGCCTCGTTCATCTAGCGGAAGCTCTCCTTGCGCAGCAGCTGAGTGAGAGGGGCTACTACGGTGCCGAAGTTCTCGATGAAGCGCTGGTAGTACCCGGTGAGCCCGAGGAAGCCACGCAGACTACGCATCGAGGCGGGTTGCGGCCAGGAGGCCACAACCTCAACCTTGTCCCCGTCCATGGCCACCCCCCGACGTCGAGATGACATGGCCGAGGTAGGCCACGGAGGTGGTGCCGAAGGCGCACTTGGAGCGCTTGACCCACAGCTGATGTTCGTGGAGGACAAAGAAGGCGGTAGCGTAGGTGTTGGAGGTGCTTTCCGGACCACGGTAGCTGTCAGAGATTAGTATGTCGTCAAAGAACACAAGGACACACTTATGGAGGAACGGCCAGAGCACCACGTTCATCAAACTTTGGAATGTCGCCGGCCCGTTGGTGAGCCCGAACGGCATCTCGAGGAACTCAAAGTGCCCGTGATGCGTCCGGAAAGTCATTTTCTCCACATCGTCAGGATGGGCGCGCACTTGATGATAGATAGTGCGCAAGTCGAGCTTGGTGAAGAAGCACGCGCCGTGCAGTTCATTGATGATCTCCTCCACCACCGGGATAGGGAATTTATCCTTCACCGTGTGGTCATTGAGCACGCGGTAGTCCACACAAAAGCACCACATCGCATTGGGCTTCTTGATGAGGAGGACTGGCACGGAGAACGGCGAGTTGCTTGGCCTAATGATCCCTTGCTCGAGCATTGATGTACACTGCGCCTCTAGCTCATCCTTCTGGAGTTGGGGATAGCGGTACGGCCGGACCGCCACCGGCGCGGTGTTCGGCAGCAAGTGTATCCGATGATCACAGTCGCGTGGCGACGGGAGCCCAGTTGGAGGCTCGAAGATGTCGGCGAACGACTCTAGGAGGCAATCGAGGAGGGTGGGCTCCGTGCCATGGATGGCGTGTAGGCGGCCAGTGGGGGGATGTCGGTGCGCGTGGAGCCAATCCCCTTCCATAGGGCACGCTTGCCGTGGTGCTAGAAGGCCAGGCAAAGGTCGTTGAAGTCCCATAAAATAGGGCCCAGGGTGCGTAGATACTTGACGCCGAGGACCACGTCGTAGCAGTCGAGCGAAATGGCGTAGCAGTCGATGGTGAAATGTTCTTCGCCTATGCGGATGGCGATGTCGCGGGCTAGGCCACGAGACGCGATCACCATTGGCGACCACCACGTGGGCGCCCTAGCTATCGTGGAAGTGCAGGTTCACGCAGTGAGCGGGCGCCGTACTGATGAAATTGTGGGTCGAGCCCGAGTCGAGGAGAGCCATGAGCTCATAGTTGCCGATGGAGATGTGGAGCTGCATGGTGTCTTCGGTACGGATGCCAACGATCGTGTGCAGTGAGATTAGTGGCGGCAGTTCCTCCTGGGTCGGATCTTGGGCCTGATCTTCCTTGGGCAGCGGGGGCTCGGTATCGTCAAAGTCGGTGACCTCTAGATAGAACAGGCGTTGACACTTGTGCCCACGCACATACTGCTCATCGCAGTTGTAGCACAGGCCCTGGCGTTGGTGATCCGCCATCTCGGTTGGGGACAGACGGCGGAACGGATGCGGCGGTGCCGGGGCATTCGCGGCGAGTGTCAGTTGTTGTGTCAGTGGTGATGTTGCGGCCGGGAGGGCCAGCGGCTGTGCACGCGGCGGAGGGCACGGGGCCCAGGCTAGAGTCACCTCGGGTAGAGCCCCTACGCGGCGTTCATAGGCGCGGGCCAGTCCCATGGCCCGCTGAAGATCCATTGGGCCTTGGAGCTCGACGTCGGTGCGGATGGGGTCCGGCAGTCCACCGGTGAAGAGATGGACCTGTTGTGCTGGATACAGTAGCCCAACGTGCGCCATAGGGCCTAGAACGCCTCTTAGTACTCCGACACGGTCCCCCGGAATGGCAGGCGCGCCAGGTCGGAGAGGTGGTTGGTGCCGAGCGCCGGCCTGAAGCGTTGGTGACACAGGGCCTTGAAGAGGGGCCAAGAAATGGCGCTAACGTCGCCGGCATCGCACTCAAGCATGTAGTACTAGTGCTGAGCCACACCATTCATGTGGAACGACGCGAACCAGACTTTGTCCCCTTCAGGTGTGCGCTGCGCTCAGAAGAAGTGCTCGCACTTGTTCAGCCAGGCCAGAGGATCGTCCTTGCCGTCGAGTGTCGGAAAGGAGAGCTTTTGGAAGCGGGGAATACCAAGGGCATCCGCATGGCCCTCGTATGGCATCGGCGGTGCACTGAAGTTGGGAAGTGGTGATGGGGAGTGTGGGAACACAATTTGGGTGATGGACACCGGGGCTGATGGGATCGGCTGCTGACCCGCTGCCTCAGTGTGCACCACGACAGAGGCTGCCAACGGCGCGATGGGAATGCCGCTGAATCCTGGCAACCCATAAGGTAGGGACGCTGGTGGGGGGCTGCTAACGGATGGCCCGCTCGGAGAAGGGGACGCCCACCCTTCGATAGCCGACAGGCGGGTGGCGAACTGGCCCATTTGGTGATGGAGGCCATAGATGGTGGCAGTGAGGGTGTCCAGGGGTGACGGGCGGAATGGCGGTGGTGGGAATCCCAGACATCGGGCCTGACATCGATACCAAATTGTTGGGATCGTTGCTACTCCCTCTGAGATAGTAGTCGTGGAACGTAGGCGGGCGAGGTTTGGGTTCACGGCGTCGGCGTGGGTGCGACGCCGTCCTGGCGGCCGACGTCGAACACGAGCGAGCGAGAGAGCGAGGGCACAAAGGGAGCGGGAGAGATTAATTCAATCTCCAGCTGAACCTCACATTAACCAAGTGTTTAGGCTTTATAGCTGACTCTCCCCAAATCACTAACTGACTAAAAAATCCAAATTCCCTAACAAATCGAAATCTGAGATCCTAGACTTCAGGAACTGAAGCCACCCTGAGCGCGGTCACCACGTGGAGCTGTGCGCGTCGTGCGCATTGCCCGTTGGGCCCTCTCAGCCACGGCTCCGCTTGCAGCGCTGGTAGACTCAGCCCACCATAACAGAACCCCTTCCAAGTTCTTGAAGATTTCGAGCACAAATCAATCAATCAATCAATCTTTCTAATGGAGATCATAACTCTTCTAAGTTGGAGCATCTGGGTGTGTAGAAACAACCTCATCTTCAACATAAACACTTCCACGCAGTCATACAAATCAATTTTCAAAGTGGAATTTGCACTCCTTCTCAGCCGTGCAAAGCCAAAATACTTCACTAAGATGGAATAATAGTTTTCAAGCTTAAATTAGCAATCCTCTTAGTTCTGGTGACTTTTATTTTCTTCTTCTGTTTCTTTGTCACCTGAAGTTGCAGCTTCTTGTTGTAACTTATATGTAACTTAAAACTCTTGGTTCTATTTTAATTTATACCAGTAGACCAGTAGGGTGCTTTGCCCCCTACTGTTTTATAAAAAATCATAAAGGCATTGATAAGGTCTCCAATAGTACATTTTTACTAATAATATCGACAAGATATATTGCTTCGGAATTGTTAGAGTTATATTGTGAAAATAAGTTTATAACAAAATGAAGAACCTAGAAAGGCGATTAGAGGGGGGGGGGGGTTGAATGGGGAGCCAATCAAAATTTCTTCCGGAATAGCCGTTGTCCCAATCAACCCTCCAAAACCCCAAAACTCACAAGATACCCTCGAGCCAACTAGTGGTATAACCAAAGAACATAGCGGGACACTCACCACAGCGGAAAACCAAGAGGTTGAGCGAAACACGCCGAAACCCAAAAGTGAGGCTCTCAACTTCAACCAAACTGAAGCAAGAGCACAAACTCAAATCACCCAAGTCAACAGGTGACTTGATGATTTGGAAAACTTCCTAGGCACCTTAGAAACCCCACGGAAGAGATGGATCAAGTAACCAACACTTGGAGCACCAAAACACACCGCAATAGCAACCTCACTTGAAACCTAGCTAGGCCTACTTTTGAACACGACATAGCCTACTTTAAACCCGGCCAAGCCTACTTCAAACCTAGCCTAGCCCACTTTTCTGTTTTCAACAGCCGAAACCAAACTCCAAAAAAGTGAAATCCATTCAAATGTTGTGCGATTGGCTCAAATTTTTCAGTGTTTAGAGTCTATCCCAAAAGATCAACTCCAAAAGATCAAGGGAAGTCCGCAGATCGAAAAATCTCTCCAAGGTCGGGGTTTTATCAACTTTCGTCAAAATCCCCAAACTTTGTGTTGTGAGGAAACTACCAAATCTAGCCTGTTCGGTTGGCTGGTGCTTGTCGTATACGATCGTAAATTTCCAGCCAGAATAGTATTTTTCTCTCACACAAACCAGCCAGCAGTACTTCTTCACGAACCAGCAACGAAACGAACCAACTTGCCGAACAGGCTGCTGGTTGGTAGACATGTTCCTCGGGGTCCTAGCACGTATCCATACAGCACAAACAAATTCAAAAGCTCACATTGAAAGAAACCACCAAATAGCAAAAAGAGGGATTCGGGAAGAGAAAAAACCAAATCGATTCGAAGCAAGAGATCTTGGGACTTTGATTTCAGAGGACAACTTCTTTATTTCCACAAGGCTGTATTCTAATGGTTTCCTTCTGACATCTATTTGACTTTACTTTTTGACAGAAAAAAGACATTTTTTAGTTACTTCAGTGCATCCGTGTTCTTTTCGAGCAAATTTCATTGCATCCGTCTTACCAGGAAGCGGAAACGTATCAAGCAATTTTGGGAAGGTAAACTACAACACAAGAACGAACACATCCGAGTGAAGAGTGAACAGCTACAGCTATCCAGCAAAGGTGTGGCTACAATTTAACAGCTAGCGTTTTTTTTTTGATGAAACAGCTAGCGTTTTTTTTAACAAACGGGCATACGAGGAGTGTGCCTATTTCATTAATATAGAGAAGAGTTTTAACAGCTAGCGTTGATCACAAACAAGCAGGGCACCGGGCTGACGTCTAGTGCCAATATGCGTTTTTGGCAGTACCATTTGTCAAATGCTCCAACTTTGTACCGCCCTTCAATAGCTCTTCAACAGCTTTCTGAAAACAAGGAAAATGTACCTATGATGTCCACACTGTCACAGACGAAGTGAAAACTGAAAGCAGTTCAAGGCTCCAAAATTTTGCGTACCTCGACACATGTCAGTGCATATTGAACATCGCTATCTGAAATTTGGTAATGGATGACGAACCTGACACTGCATGATACACGAAGTACATAGTTCAATGTGGATAGCTAACTCTGGATGTGCCCATCATTAAAGATACTACTGTAGGTGTTTAGATTAAGGTCTGACTTGCTAATTGATCATAGAGTTTCTTTAAAAATAGGGACAATAATCTTTCTTATTCTTTTAAATATAGGCAGCTCTCTTGGCCATTCCTTTAAAATGAAAAAAGGAATAATAATTCTTGACCGAACCGTCAAGCTTATTAGTCAAAAAATAAAGATACGATAGTGAAAAGGAGACAATGTTAGGGTGTATACATTATCACCAATAGATTTTCAATAAATGTGTTATCAGTGAAGCACGATATAATTAGTTTATCGCCTAAAAATATCAGTGATATGAATTGCCCACCAACCGGCCAAACCAATAACTTGTAATATTTAAAACTATGTTTGTTGTAATATTTGGGACTGTGTTTGCTAATTAGCCAATGGAGTTTGATATTCATTCATTGTTATGTGTAGTTTTTTGTGTTAACTTGTTTGGAGAGAATCTATATGGTTTTCTGTGCAAATTGACAGTTTTTTTTCAAAAAAAAAGGTCAAAAGAAACCCTATTACCGATAGATTTCGGATCCCATAGAATTCGGATCCCATTTATCGGTCACCTCCAATATTTTCTATAATTAAAGAAAATAGGAGACTGAACATGGGCCATATATGCTTCGCGTGTAGAGGCTGGGATATTGTCTTTTTAATTCTATTATCTAAGAAAGGAGACTGATCATGTTACTCAGAGAATGGAGCTTCACCATGTAATGGGGGAAAAAGAATGGGAATTCACCTTTTTGAACTTGCTGGCATTGCAAGCACATTGCGCTGTTCCAAGACATCGCATAGCTTGTTCGGTGAAATGCGTGGATCCACGATATCAAAGAACACCTTATACAAAGTAAAGGTATGTCATATACTGGACCTTTTCAGTTTGCATTGTGGAAAATAAAAAAATATAGCGCTTCATCTTTTACACTGACCATATTTGTCTCGACCGAAGATGAATCCACCGTAAACTGTTTAATTTTCTTCAGGCCCTCTAAGAAAACGAAATAGAGTTACAAGTTCAGGAATTCAAGCTAACACAAGGATTTGGTTTCTTTTCTAGAAATACCATGAAAAGAGCAGTGTTTTGTTTTCCTTGTATGTATTAGATAGAATGAAAATCCTGGGTGCCAACAGTAGAAGGTTTTTTGTGTGTGTGTTAGAGTGTGTGTCAAAGCAGAGGGGCTGTTCAGGGCTTGTGAACTGTGAATAACAAAATGAAGCTAAGTTAGACTCAAAAGACAAAATATAAATATAAGAAACCTGCCAAGGCTTTAGCCTTCCTGTGATCATCCGCAAGCTTTCCCACAGTGTCACGAACAGCAACATAAGCAGCGGCACAAAGAACTCCAACCTGTCTCATTCCACCACCTAGTGTCTTCCTAAGAATTTTAGCCTGAAGGTAATGTTTCAGATTTCCACTGTAACATGACATCTGCAGTTTTAACTTACAACAGAGAAGTTGATCAAACCTTGTCAATGAAGGCCTTTGAACCAACAATAACTGATCCGATGGGTGCGCCTAGCCCTTTAGATAGGCATACCTGTAGTTTATGTTTCAGAGAATCAGAATCACCACTCATATGTTACCTGAAGGCCATTCATATGCATGTTGCAAATTGACGGCAAAACCCAGCAAACTAACGACATACCGAAACTGAGTCAGCGGCTTTTACAAGTCTATGTACAGGAACTCCCAGTGCCTGGCACAGTAAAGCACACAGAGATAGATGCTCAGCATTTTTAAGTGAAACATGGAAGTATATTTCGTAAGTAGGTGTATAGTTTTATTTTTTCAAGATGTCAATCCTCTATGAACAATGCTTGGTTTATAAAGTACAGCTCCCTGCGACTGCCAGTATGTTCAAGTACTTACCACAGAGGCATTGAAAATACGAGCTCCATCAATGTGAAGCTTGAAGCCGTGATTCACGGCAATTTCGCCAACCTTGTCTGTGTATTCTACAGACAAACATTTCCCACCAGCACTGCAGAAACAGTAGTAAGAGATGTTTACGAAACTAAGTAAAAAAAAAGTATATGAATTTGACCAGCAAGAGGAGCAGCAGCAGTTAACTCGTGCGACTCACTTGGCATGTGTGTTCTCCAAGCAGATCAACCTGGTCGTCGGGTACAGCAGCGCCCCGTCCGGGTTCCTAATGGCGGCAACGATCTTGTCAATATCCATGGTGCCGTCGGGGTTGTTGGACACGGTCCTGGGGTGCACGCCGCCGATGGTGGAGATGCCGCCGTTCTCGTAGACGTGGATGTGCGAGGTGTCCCCGAGGATGACCTCGCTGCCCCGGACGTCGCAGTGCACGAGGACGGAGATGAGGTTGGCCATGGTGCCCGAGGGCACGAACAGCGCGGCCTCCTTGCCCGTGAGCGCGGCCATCTCGGCCTCGAAGCGGCGCGAGGTCGGGTCGGCGCCCAGGACGTCGTCGTCGACGTCGGCGGCCGCCATGGCTGCGCGCATGGCGTCGGAGGGCTTGGTCACCGTGTCCGACCGCAGGTCCACCACCTTGGTCACCATCCTCCTGCTCCGCGCCCGCGCCGCTGCAACGGCGTACGGCGGCGATGACAGCTCCGCTGCAGAGGAGGGAGCGAGAGCGTCTTTAGGACGCATGGATGGATTGAAATGGACTCGCGAAATCTCACGAACCGGACGCTGGACTGGTGCGGGTGTTTCGTCACATACTTGGTACTACGTACAGGTACAGCTTTGTCTCGCTTAAGGGCCCGCTCGTGTGCCTTTAAACTCGGCTTCATCTGTTTTTTTTATCCAAAACAGTGTTTTCCTCTCATAAATTCCTTCAGAATTTCTCCGAACCATCCAAATTCCTCCGGAACAAAAACACGCCCTAAGGCTTATTTATGATTGCTTTGTCTTTGAAAATTGCCAGGTTTGAGGCTACAGCCTACAGGCATGCTTGGCCCTCATCCCATCCCTAGCCGGGAACAAAACAGGACGCTTAACTGGCAACTCAACTCCTACACGGCAGAGGTGAAAAGGAGGTAAAGCAAGAAGACAACGTCGCCGTTCGTTCACTCGTGCAGGGATGCAGGCGGCCCGAAACAAAGAAGCGTCCGGAACCAAAGAGAGAAGAGACGACAGGGACGAGCCGACGTCTCGTCCCCCCACACGTTCACGCCGTGCGCGTGCAGGGGTGCAGGCGGCTGCACTGAAAGTGTGGATGCACACAACTCTATCCGCCCAGCTAGCTACCACAGAGCTTTGGCGTGGCGTGGCCCGTGTCACGCTCACGCATTTCGCCAAGAGCCCATCAAAATGGACGGAGCCAGCCACAAAGCGACAGAGATAAACGCACGGCTCCAAGAACGCGGTGGAAGGAAGCGCTGCGCCTGCGCACGGGAAACGACACTACCATCAATCGCTCCCAGTCCCAGAAGTGGAGTCGCGACGCCCCTCGTGAATACTTCACTCGTTTCGCCCAGAGAAAATGACTCCGGCGGTCACGCGAAAGACGGGGCTCACGGTACGCGTCTACGCGACCGCGATCGAGGAGAGAGAAACGAGACCACGGGGCCAATTCGGCAATTCCCCCGTCGACAATATCATCGAGGCGCGGCGCAAAGACGGCAGGGGGGGGGCGGCGAAGTAAACCAGAGAAGGGAGGTGGTCGCGCACCGGGATGCGAGGATGAAACAGAGGCGGCCCCCGACCTGCCCTGCCGGTGCCGGGACGAGCGGGGAGGGAATGCGCGGTCGCGACCGAGACGATTGGAGGCGGGGTGCGCGCGGTGGTGAGAAGAGAAGAGAACCTTGGCCTTCGCAGACGCGGGCCGGCCGTGTTTTATAGAGGACCATCCGACCATGGCGGGGACGAGAACGAGAGGCGCAGCCGCAGGCGGCGCCCTGGAAGGGTGGAACTGGGCTCGCCTAGCCCAGCGGCGTACACATCAGCCCTTGCCCGTGGCCCCTGGCCGCCTAATGATGGGCCAGCGCACCTGTTTCCTGACCACCCGTTGTCACGTGCCACGCACGCAGCCGCCGAGCGAGCGGATTGCTGGCGTTTGGCTTTTGTTCCTGTCCGCGCCTACTCAACACGTATTGTGCGCCATCACCCTTTCGGTAAAACGTGGAGGTGAGTTCCTTACCCTTTTTTTTTCTTTGCACAATCTCCATCCGTAGATAAGTAAAATACCGAGGTGCGTAACGAGTACATTTAAGATTTCGATGGCAACACAACATTGACGTTATTGGATTTACTCTAAAAACTGCTTTCATTTAAGATTTTGCTAGAAAAGCTTGGTTCAAGACAAACTGAAATTGACCTATGTTTGTAACGATGAGTATACATTTGTGTCACCATCTCTCCATCCGAATGAATTTCACCACGTGATATGAAACAAGAGGTACGAAAATCTAAAGGAAGAAGAACGACGCAGTGTGTGCTCGGGAGCAGCCACGGCGGCTGTAAAGTCGCCATCAGTTTGGATCCACCGTGATAAGCTAGGAATCTTGGGCGACCAGCTGAGACCCCCTTTGTGTCCACTAGATCCCAATACGGAATCGTCTGCAAGGGATAATTTTCGATCGCATCAAAGATTCCAAGTGGGTGGGGGAGGTGGACATTCATCCAGATCAAGGTAGCACTACACGAATGCAACTTCTAATTCCGCCTTCAAGGTTTCACCTACGCAAGCGGGAGTGGTCACGTTGGTGTACAGCAATATGCCGGGAAAACCCTCCCCGTTTTGCCTGTGTTTGTCGTAGTGTTCAGTTTAGGACAGTACAAATGGTTTCAATCGGCGTCATGCATGACGTCTCCTAGAAAATCCTACCGAAGCGGGAAGAAACGTGCAAGATCCAACGGCAGCATTAATAAGAACTTACTATAGATAGAAGAAGCAAAACTATCAAGTGCTTCAGGCCTCGGACCGTGTTAGCAGCCAAAAGCAGCTGCAGCAGCTGAAAAAAATCTCAGAGGGGTGGTTCAAGTGCAACTTGGTTTTGACGGCCTTGAATTAATGACCGTCACCTGCCAAGTCCAAATCCGACAGACCATTTTGTTTGCAAGCGTGGAAAATAGAAGCACGCCGTAACGTATGCTAATCGCTCACAGAGTCACAGTGTGGTGTCAGCAGGCAGCCAGGTACGTACAAGTATACCATGCGCCTGACCCACGGTCTACTAGCTGGGAACGCGTGCAGGCTCTGCGCTCTGCAGCCGATGGATCAGGATCGACGACGCAGCGCTGCAGCTTTGCTTCGTTGGTGCTGAGTCGCTGCACGGCTGGCGGATAGGGTGGTGGACCTGACCACTGCACGCCGTGCCGCCTTGGCCCGTCCAAGTGCGTGCGCGCCCGCGGTGATGAGGATAGCGCACGGCGGCATAGCATGCGCTTTTTGACTGACTCAGCAAGATTGGTCTTTGGTGACTTGGTCCCGCGTCCTGCCTCCTGCCATGCTTCTTCATGTGAATACTCCTCTTTCTAAAAATTACACATATCTCAAAGCAGCCATATAATTAATTAAATATTTTCTTAATTATTTTTCGCATGGATTCCGCCCAAGCCCAGCCGTGGCAAGCCCAGATCGAAATCCCTTTCCCGTTGTTCGGCAAGGAGCCGACCAGTTCCGCCGGCGGCAGCGAGCCACTGCCGTTGCCTCCGCCTTGCTCGTACCGCCACAGGATCGTGTGTAGCCGACTAGCCGATCGTTCGGTGCCTGTTCGTGTTGTTCCCATGAGTTCCGGCCGGCAAAGCTGCGTTGTGCGTTCGCCGTCGTTGGCACATGTGCTGCGGTTACTGTAGGACCATATTGTCAAATCATTTATTAATTAGGTTTAAAAAAATCATCTCGTAAATTAGTCATAATCTGTATAACTAATTATTTTTAGTCTATATTTAATACTCTATTCATATATCTAAACATCTAATGAAATTGGAATTAAACTTTGGGAGAAACTAAACAAGGCCTTGTGCTTTGAGTGTGATGCGCCGCAACAGCCATGACGTCGATCCGTGGAGAGCACGGCTCCTGCCTGGCATGAGTTTAGACTATATTTGGGCTGGTTTTGGATGGGATAGGCCCATTGGTTATTCAGTTGGAAAATAATTAACAAATGTTCGGCTGCCTGATATGGGCTGATTCGAGCACTGTAGCAGCGGGAGCAGACCAGCTGAAACCTAGCTGATATGGGCTGATTTGAGCACTGTAGCAGTAGAGCAGACTAGCCGAAATCAGGCAAAGTGGAGCAGCCGAACGAGCTAGTATTTAAAAGAATTAGATGAGATGCTTTAAGATCTGTGTAACCTTCTAGGAAAGGGAGTATCGGAGCAATTCCCCAAAAATATTGCCTGTGTGGTGTGCTTGTGATTCTGCTCCTGCTGCTGCTAGATAAGCGCGGAGGTTAGGTGAGGTCCTCGTTCTCGTCCACCAATACAATGAGCTCACTCTATGCGATTCGTGGTCTTCTACCATGGACCGACCGGCACCAGTGTGTTCTTTCAGAACGGTGGCCAAAAAGCAATGGTCTCTTTGTTTCTTGGTGGCCAAGAAACTTGCCGTCCTGGACTTCAGTTCTATAATCCTCCTGGAAAACGTGAATTATAGGTTCTGATGATCACGTTATACGTAGACATCCAGGGGCTATTATCCATCTCGCAGAGAGTTGGGAGTTGTAAGGGCTAATTGTTACTCGACTAAAATCAGCCATAGCCTATTAGTTGTAGCCATTAACTAATTAATAACGAATAATTAGTCTTAACTCATCTAAAGGGTGTACGATTTACCGTCAGCTTTGGTACTCTTAGGGGGATATGCCCCCTCCCCCCGTTCATCCGTACAGGCGACTCGGGGGGTCCACTTCCTCCCGCCTTCGGGCGGATGCAGATATGGGCGGATCCAGCGGGTCGTCCAGCCAGCAACTGGAGCCACCACGACCTTCGACCCCGAGTCCCCGACGCGTCTGCTTGAAGCTGGCGACCGAAGCGAGCTACGAGGAGAGAGGCAGCACCCGGCCGATTCCCCCCACCCCAAAGGGCGTAGGTGGGCGTCGGTTCAATCTTGGATGCTAAACTTAGTGCTCGTACATGTTTTGGGAAGTAGGTTAGTTGCACCTGCTGTTGTGTTTGTGTTGTTGTTACTGTTTTAGCTTCTTTTCCACTATGACATGTACTTCTTGGACCTTTAAGGATCATCCTTGTAAGGTGCACTGCACCCTCAACCACCAATTGTCTAAAATCTGTGGTAAAAATATCAGTTGGGGACTTTTCGTTCCCCATCGTTCTCCTAAAAAAATATCATCTAAAAAAGGTTAATAGAATAAATGAAGAGTAGGAATATGCAGGATGGCTTTAGGCTTTAGTGGTTTCGTGTTGTTGGTGTCGTTCCACGTCGTCGTTGCATGCATGCCTCACCCATGGGCCATGGCCGCTGCTCAATTGAAGACGCACTCCCAGCGTGGCTTCGAGTCTGCCGGTACGGTGATACTCCCCTTTTTTTTTGTATGATATGATGAAACAGAAGGTGCAAAAGTGAATTAAAAGAACAAGTGATATTCCTATTTTTCTAGCTCCCTCAATGAAACTTGAGAGGTTTCATATGTTAATATAAATATATATTTTTTAATGGTAAATGGTGCTATGGCAGTAGGGATGAAAACGGATCGGATACGAACGGATATCACTCATATTATATTTGTTTTTATATTTCTGTTCGGATTCGGATTCGGACACGGATAGCGTTCGGATACATATACGAATACGGATTGACTCGGTTACGGATACGAATAATAAGTATCGAATACGGTATGAATCAGATTCGGAGAAGGTGGGATACAAATATCTATTCGGATATTGAGTAAAAGATATATATATATATCATCGATGCATAAACCATTACACCACTCTATGAGTCCATAATCCATCTAGATTAAGCGAAAGACTAAAGAGTAAAGCAACAAATAAGATAAAGATACAGATACATCATACATCAAACATCATACAAGCACCAATCTTCGCGGCATGAGTAGAAATAGCCAAGCTCATGGCTTCATGGGTCTCATGGAGTCATGGTCATGGATTCAAGATCTACAATCCTTATATAGGCCATTTTTTCATTTGAGAAAGTTTGAACAAAATGTAATTCAAATTTCACAAGTGTGTGACATAGTTTTAGAAAGTCTATATGAGATTCAAGAATTTGTGACTAGTGTTTGATAAAACTTTCTCAAATGGGAAAATGAGCTATGTAACAATTGTAGATCTTGCTGAGATGATCAAACTTGGTATTCAAAGTTTTTTCATCTGAGGTCATTTAGTGTCTCATTTGAGCAAGTTTGACCAAGTCAAATTTGGTCAAATGAAAAAACAACACTTTGACTCTAGTATTATGAACTCTAAATGACTTCCAATTGAAAAGTTTTGAATACCAAGTTTGTTCAACTCATCAAGATCTACAATTCTTGTTTTGGTCAACTTTCCATTTGAGATAGTTTGGATGGTTCAAATTTGTGATTTTTAAATTTCGATGCTTACAAACTAGTTTTCGGAACCCTAGATTGTCTCAAATTGAAAAGTTTTGAATACCAAGTTTGTTCAGTTCATCAAGATATACAATCCTTATATAGGCCATTTTTTCATTTGAGAAAGTTTGAACAAAATATAGTTCAAATTTCACAAGTGTGTGACATAGTTTCATAAAGTCTATATGAGATTTAAGAATTTGTGACTAGTGTTTGATAAAACTTTCTCAAATGGGAAAATGAGCTATGTAACAATTGTAGATCTTGCTGAGATGATCAAACTTGGTATTCAGAGTTTTTTCATCTGAGGTCATTTAGTGTCTCATTTGAGCAAGTTTGACCAAGTCAAATTTGGTCAAATGAAAAAACAACACTTTGACTCTAGTATTATGAACTCTAAATGACTTCAAATTGAAAAGTTTTGAATACCAAGTTTGTTCAACTCATCAAGATCTACAATTCTTGTTTTGGTCAACTTTCCATTTGAGATAGTTTGGATGGTTCAAATTTGTGATTTTTAAATTTCGATGCTTACAAACTAGTTTTCGGAACCCTAGATTGTCTCAAATTGAAAAGTTTTGAATACCAAGTTTGTTCAGTTCATCAAGATATACAATCCTTATATAGGCTATTTTTTCATTTGAGAAAGTTTGAACAAAATATAGTTCAAATTTCACAAGTGTGTGACATAGTTTCAGAAAGTCTATATGAGATTCAAGAATTTGTGACTAGTGTTTGATAAAACTTTCTCAAATGGGAAAATGAGCTATGTAACAATTGTAGATCTTGCTGAGATGATCAAACTTGGTATTCAGAGTTTTTTCATCTGAGGTCATTTAGTGTCTCATTTGAGCAAGTTTGACCAAGTCAAATTTGGTCAAATGAAAAAACAACACTTTGACTCTAGTATTATGAACTCTAAATGACTTCCAATTGAAAAGTTTTGAATACCAAGTTTGTTCAACTCATCAAGATCTACAATTGTTGTTTTGGTCAACTTTCCATTTGAGATAGTTTGGATGGTTCAAATTTGTGATTTTTAAATTTTGACGCCTATAAACTAGTTTTCCATTTGAGAAAGTTTGGACGGTTTAAATTTTGAAGCACTAAATGATTTCAAACGAAAAAGTTGTAAACAACAAAGTTTCATAACTTTTTGAGATCTACAATTTTTATTTTGATCATTTCTCCATCCAAGGTCGTTTGAATAATATTCGGATAATATCCGTTTTTAAATATCCGGATATATCCGATACTTATCCGGATTATCCGATATCCGCCGGATATCGTTGATATTACATCCGTATTTGATATCCGCCTAAGATATCCGTTTTAGTATCCGTGTCCGAAAAAAAATTACGGATATCCGAGTAACTATCCAGATAAGTGTTCATATTTGTTCGATCGAACGGACGGTCGAATAAATATCCGTACCGTTTTCATCCATATATGGCAGAGCTTGGAACATCTTTGAACCTGGACAAACAGAGCCCGGCCTTGGCAATGTCACTGAATGGCAGGGCCACATTGTAAACACCAATCCAGCTAACAGATTATAAACCCAAATCTTTCCTGTTCTCCTCAAAAAAAAAAAACCCCAAATCTTATCTTACTAACAAATATTACAAATATATAAAAATCTGCCTCATTCCGGTAAAATGGTCGCGTGGCCTAATGGATAAGGCGCTCGCCTCCGGAGCGGGAGATTGTGGGTTCGAGTCCCACCGTGATCGATTTTGTTGCTCGTGATGCTTGCTCTTTTGCCTTCCCTCGGAGTCCGAGATCATCATAGAGGCGCCCGAACAGCTAAGGATCGCGCTGCGAATCCATCGTCCGATCCAACTCTTCTCCTGCAAGGCCATAATAATGCAACGGAATCTGCCCCTGATCTAGGTGTTTCTTTCTTGTGGTAGAGTCGTGCGCTATCTCGCCGAAAACCCAGGGCCGCCGCCATATACCAATGCAACCGCACCTCGCCACGTCTTGTTCGCCGTAGCGATCGATCTCGCACGCACGCACCCACCAAAAGTCCAAAACCACCCCGGCACCACCATGGCCGTCGTCGACGTCGTCCCGGTAGCCGCCCACCGCTCGGACGGCGGCGGTGCCACGCCTGCCGCCTTCCCGATCCCCACCCTCGTCCCCGAGTGCGCCGCCATCTGCATCGCCGCATCCGCGTACTACGTCTCCACGCTGCTGTCCTACTACGCCACGTTCGCCGTCTCCCTCGTCTGCTTCGCCCGCGCGGTCTGGCCAGACCGCATCGACGCCGCGCTCGTCCGCGCCGACGCCTACGCGCGGCACACGGCGTCGCGCGCGCGCGCTGACCTGGAGGCCGTCCTGCGGCATCTGAGGGACGCGGCGCCCTTGGCCGCGCCCGTGCACGCTGCGGCCGAAGAGTGCGCGCGCCTCGCCCGTGCCACCGTCGCCGCCTGGAGGAGGAAGTGGGACGAGCACAGGGACGCCGCGTGCGCCGCGAGGTTCGTGCTCCGCCTGGTCGCGCTCGTCGCCCGCCTGGCCGCGACCGTGCTGTTCGACGCGGCGTGCGATGAGGCTAGGGCCTGGGCCCCGTCGGTGCTGGGATACTTGAGACACGTGGCCGATGGGATCAGGCCACCGTCGGCGTCGTCGTGCAACAAGGGCGAGGACGAGGACGAGGCGGCCGCCGGCTTTGTGTTGAAGGACGTCGTGTGTCTCGTCGGGACCGGGTTCTACCTCCTGTTCAGCATGCACCTGCTCTTCAGCTCCAGCGCCGCCAGTGGGATGCAGTTCTGTGCCGTGTGCTTCGCGGCAACGTGCGGCTTGACGATGGTGATCGCTGACTGGATCGACCCGCCGGACGACGATGCCGACGAAACTGACACCACCAACACGGAGGGCGATGCTGCCGGCGAGGCAAGCCGAGACGAGGAGCTCGAAGTGCGCGAGTCGTGGCGGTTCCTCTGGGTTCTTATCCTCATCACGCACTGCGTCGACGCGTTCCTCCTCCACGTCACGCTCGGCCCGCAGCCAACAACACTCGCGATCTTGGCCCTCTGCAACTTGGAGGTACTCAAGGTCGGCAGGCAAGTCCAGCTGACGCCGGACGACGGGGAGGGAGCAGGAGCTGTCGACAAGTGGCGCCGCGGTGCCATGGTGGTGTACGCGGCGTGCAGCGTCAAGGTCTTTGTCGTCTACCTCGTGCTCGACTGTTACCTGGCCGCGCTCGGCTTCTTCTGTCTTTTCGTCATGGCGGACCTCCTGTTGGCTGAGGAGGACAACTCGTTGGACTTCGATGTCTCGGGTGAAGAAGATGACGAAGATGGGGAGGAGAGTGCTGGCTTCGAAGGGGACATCACCGGAGGCGACGAGGGAGAGGCTGATGAGGAGACCAGGGAAGAGCATTCCGACACGAGCTCTTCAGAAGATGAAGAGGAAAGTTCTGCGCATTGTGATAGTTCATCGTCAGAGAATGAAGAAAGTTCTGTGCATTGTGATAGTTCATCAGAGGATGAAGAGGAAAGGCATTGTGAGAGTTCAGAAGATCATGAGATTGTTGGGGAGCAGCGACACGGAGGACCGGATTACGGCAGCGGCGGCAGCACGGACGACAGCTGGGATTTGGTAGACGTCGACGATCCAGAGATGCCGGCAAAAGCTAAATGTGGCGCTGGCGCCAATCGGAGGAAGTCCAGGCTTTTCCCATGGAAGCACGCCGCGTGATATCCTGTTGACGCGTGACTGATTTATCATGATGTGAGATTTTCTAGCTTCCGTTAGGATTCTTTGTATAAAACTTTCATCCGGGTAGAGAGTCCGTTAGGCAAAACTAGGTCTAAATTCAAAACGCATTTTTTTTTTGCAGTGTGCGTGTACTGTGTAGTGTGCAATGCATTTAGTCCTAAGTCATTGCAGGCCCAGTGTTGCATATGAAATGTTCTTTTTTGTGTCTTTCAAAAAAAGAACGAATTCGTGTTCTACTAGCACAGTTTCCAGTTTTTCTTAGCTTGTTCTCCTTTTGTGTCGATATAACACTGGAACGTTCAACTTCTTCCATGGTCGTGGCTTGAGATTTATTTACTGACCATATCATGCGTTTCAGCGTCTAGAATTGAACTCTATACTCTGCCTAGACTCGTTTCGCTCTAATTTGTATCCCGTGGCGGATCTAGAAAAAATATATAGGGGGACTGGACTGAAGAGAGCAAGACCAACTTATAACTCAATTATGTCCTATACATCACTAATATATAGCAGTTTTAAGCATTTTATAACACGATAACTTTGATAAACAATTGAAAGTGCATCATATTTCACAAGAAGTAAAAAAAAATACAATTGAAAACGGCAAACAGGGAAAGGAGAAAGGCCCATGGCCCACTTGGCCTATTGACGTTATTGCCTTACTGGGCCTATTTGGGTGGGGGAAACAAAGAGATGGAGAAACATTCGATGCGTCGTCTTCAACCTCCGTCGACCTCTCGGGTGTTTCAGGTCTCCGGCCCTTCCTCCATTGCCAGTCCACTGTCCAAAAATTCTTGGGGGGCTGAGGGGGGCTCCACAAGCGTGGCCACGGTAAGGGGGCTTGAGCCCGCAGCCCCGGTGGCAGATCCACCACTGTTTGTATCAGTACACAAGGTTTACATATTTATCAATGATCATACGTTCCAATTCATTTGAGGTCAGACTTTGCATCATATACAAGAACACTTTACTCGTATGGACTTTTGTTCATAGGTTTTCTAAGGTTCTATAGATGCAAGAAATTAAAAGAAAGAAAGGTATTAAAGTCGAGACAAAAAAAAAGATGGTTCAATTGAACTTATCTCGTGACTTTATAGTTGATAAAATAGGAATGATATCATTCAAGCTTTAGAGATTTTTATTACAAGCTTTTCACCAAAGTTCGAGAACATTAAAATTGAAGTCCGGAGAGCAAGTGGCCAACTTGTTGATGATCACCGGACATCTGTCGTGGTTTCCAATAGATCTGGTGAAGCATTTTTGTAGAATAGTCTACAGAATTTCAGAACCTTTGCAACAAGTACAAGATCACAAAAAATAAACTTCGGATCTACGAGATATGACCAAATTACCAAAAAAACAAAAAGCGAATGCACTGAACACACGATGATCCGGAACAATTTATGATCGTCCAGTGCATTATTTTGGATGGATTCTTCTAATAATCCCATACACAAGCTTTCTAACAAGGACAACATAATAAGAAAAGACTTCAAAGCTAGAAGATATGACCAAAACACCGAGAAAATTATAGTAATACCATAGACCCAATGCTTATAGTTTTAAACTAGCAGATCATCCAGTGAAGTCCAGTAATTTGGCCACAACATTCACCTGGTATGATCATATATGATCCGTATTCATGGGGATCAAGAGCATCACTAATGAATGAAGCTGAACTACCCGAATCAATAAGAATCAACACTGAATGGTGAAGAACAACACCGCTGAATGGATAGTCCTAGATGCAGGCGAGGAGCCAGTACCCGCCTTGGATATAGCCAAACACAACTGATCTTTAGAAGGAACAGGTTCAACTGCGTCAAAATCACCAGCAGGGTCGACGAACTACTCCCAAATAGTCTCTACTGCAGGCAACACCTCAGGGGCACACTTGTGGTCCACGGACCACTCCGCTGCACACTTGTAGCAGAGGCCCATCGCGCGGCGGTACAATTTCAAGGCCGCGAGCTTAGCATCTAGTATCGGTGGTGAAGTAGAGTGTCCATGGCCGAAGAGGTTGGAGAAGACTTGTCTGACTGCGGTGGAGGTGGTAAGGCCGTAAGGGCAGAGCCATCCACGGCGCCGTGGGCTGCCTGAGAGATGAAGACTAATCAGGCAATCACCAGAACATGATGGCCATGTGGACGGCTGAAAGGTCCTAATGGCTAGAGGAGGGATAAATAGCCTATTAAAAATTTCTACAACAACACTTTAGCAAACCGGTTAGACAAATATGAGACGAAGCGAGTATTGCGCTAGCCTACTAAAAATGCAAGCTACCTACCACAATTCTAGTTTCTATAGTCTCTATTCACATAATGGCTATGTTGCTACACTAAGTTAGTGTGCTCTCAAAGGCTAACTAAAGAGCCACACTAACCAAACTAACAAGCTCTCACAAGTAGCTACACTAAAGAGCTTGACAACTAGTTTGCGGTAATGCAAAGAGATAGACAAGATGGTTATACCACCGAGTCGAGGAATGAACCAATCAATCACAAGGATGGATACCAATGAATACCAAACACCTCGGAATCAAATGATGACACAATAATTTTTTACCGAGCTTCACTTGCTTGCCGGTAAGTTAGTACTCGTTGTGGCGATTCACTCACTTGGAGGTTCACGCGCTAATTGGCATCACACGCCAAACCCTCAATAGGGTGCCGCACAACCAACATAAGATGAGGATCACACAAGCCATGAGCAATTTACTAGAGTACTTTTTGCCTCTCCGACGGGGAAAGGTCAAGAACCCCTCAAAATCACCACGATCGGAGCCGGAGACAATCATCAACCTCCGCTCGACGATCCTCGCTGCTCCAAGCCATCTAGGTGGTGGCAACCACCAAGAGTAACAAGCGAATCCCGCAGCGAAACACGAACACCAAGTGCCTCTAGATGCAAACACTCAAGCAATACACTTGGATACTCCCAATCTCACAAAGATGATAAATCAATGATGGAGATGAGTGGGAGGGCTTTGGCTAAGCTCACAAGGTTACTATGTCAATGTAAATGGCCAAGAGAATGAGCTTGAGCCGGCCATGGGGCTTAAATAGAGAGCCCCCACGAATAGAGCTGTTGGCTCTCTGTTCACTGAAAAATCAGGGCGACCAGATGCGCCGGTCAGATCGACCGGACGCAGGACCCCAACGTCCGGTCATGCGATGCACGCCACATGGCCCCTGCTTCAAATGCTGATCGTCCGATCGCAACGGTCATCAGTGCATTTAAGTTATGACCGGACGCACTATAGTGAACGACCGGACATATGACCCCAGCGTCCGGTCACTTCCAGTAAGGTTCCAGTCGCGACCGGACGTGTCTGGTCATGCCCGACCGGACTCGCCCAGCATCTGGTCACTCATCGTTTCCTCTGTGCGCCGCCACATCAGCAGGACCGGACGCTGAACAGTGTTCAGCCAGAGTCCGGTCGCCTACGTCCGGTCAAGAGACCGAGGGCGGCCTTCACTGCGCGCCACTGACCGGATGCAGGACCCCAGCGTCCGGTCACTGCATGACCAGCGTCTGGTGCACTCTGTGAAACCCTGTCTTTTCTGTACAGGGCGCCGGTGGCACCGTCGGACTGTCCGCACTCTACGGGCAGACACTTCGTTGGTGAAGTTTCGAACCCTTGCTCAAATATGCCAACCACCAAGTGTATCACCTTGTGCACATGTGTTAGCATATTTTCACAAATATTTTCAAGGGTGTTAGCACTCTACTATATCCTAAATGCTTATGTAATGAGTTAGAGCATCTAGTGGCACTTTGATAACCACATTTCGATACGAGTTTCAGCCCTCTTAATAGTATGGCTATCGATCCTAAATGTGATCACACTCTCTAAGTGTCTTGATCACTAAACCAAAAAGCTCATAACAATTTTACCTTTGCCTTGAGCCTTTTATTTTTCTCTTACTTCTTTTTTAAGTCCAAGCACTTGATCATCACCATGGTATCACGACCATCAAGTCATGATCTTCATTTGCTTCACCACTTGGAGTAGTACTACCTATCTCATAATCACTTTGATAAACTAGGTTAGCACTTAGGGTTTCATCAATTTACTAAAACCAAACTAGAGCTTTCAACGGCCCCGGTACCTCCTCCCACAACAATGACAAAGAAGAAGCATTATCCAAATCCTTGGGCCGTTGGACAGAACATTTGGCTTAGAGCAACTCCAGCATGGACATCCAAATTAGGGCCTCTATTTTGGATTTGGGTGCTCACCCCTACTTTAATTGGCCCAACAAATTTCTTTCACTCTGGTAGCATCTATATTTAGCTATGTGGGCTTAAGTAGGAGCCCTGCTAGAGTTGCTCTTAATATCAGAGTGTAAGCCATCAATAAAGCGCATAGTGTAAAACAATGGGTCACGAGAAACAGACTATACTAAAAGCTGATCAACTAGTTCAGAGAAACGGCCAACGTAGTCCGCCATCGTAGAAGTTTGTTTGACATGAAAGAGGCTGCGAATAAACTGCTCATGTTGATCGGGGTCATGAAGCAGGCAGCAAAAGTTAGGCCAGGCAAGCAAATGAATCTAGGACTCAATTGATTGGAACCGTTGAGCAACAAGGCCATCAAGATGCATCACAACAACACTAATCCTTTACCAACAAATGTCGCATACATTGACGGTATGCATTTATTTTATTCAAAGACTATTTTATAACCATCTCTACACAATAGAAAGTCGCTAACTAGATTCTTTTTATGGAGAGAATATGTTGCACGTTCTTCAATTGCACTGTCTTTCCCGAAGTAAAAATTAGAACGACCATACCAACACCAAGAACACGCGCACGTGTTTCGTTCTCCATCAACAAAGCTCCAATCCCGTAGACCTGGTAAGAAGAAAACAAAGAAACATAAGCACACACATGAATATTAGTCCCAATGCCCATCCACCAATCAAGCGAATGATGGATTAAAAGAATAGTAGGTAAAGAATTACCATACCCAGATGCTCCTCCTTCACTCTCTTTAACAACTATGTTTGCAGACTTCTTGTCTTACTTAAATTTGTGATATGGGTACGCACTTGCCCAATGCTCATCGCTCCCGCAAACAAAGCAGCCACCTTTATTCTTTTTCTTCTTATAAACGTGATTGTTTGCTTAGGCTTTGAATTGTTCTGTTGCTTGTTCTTGTTATTATGAGATGCACTAGAGTTTTTCATCTGCACCATATTAGCACTAGAAGATTCAGCTCCTTTTCCACGAGTGTCTTTTGCTCTCCCCTCTCCTCAACATTAAGAGATCCAATAAGCTCAGCCATGTTAAACTCTTGTTTCTTGTGTTTTATAGAGGTAGTAAAATCCCTTCAAGAAGGTGGCAACTTAGCGATAATATCACCGGCCACAAACTTGTCGGGCAACACACACATGGAAATTGCTCGAGTTCCTTAGCTAGTGTCTATATCTCATAAGCATGTTCCACTACTGAACGATTATCAACAATTTTATAGCCATACATGCTCAATGATGTACAACTCATTACCAGCATCAGAAACACTGAACTTTGCCCCAAGTGCATCCTATAATCCCTTGTCAGTTGTGTATGTCAAGTAAGAGTCCACATATTTTTTTAGCAAGAGTGCTAATCATAGCGCCTCGAAATAGGTTATCGGCAACCTCGAACGCTTTCTCTTCATCAGGAGTAAACTGTTCGGGTTTTCCCTGGGCGGCGTGATAGCAACTCATAGTTGTCAACCACAGGATCATCTTAGCACACCATCTATTATATTTGACCCATCAAATGCACTTGACTTCAACGTAGCAGCAAAACCACTAACAGAAAATTATCTAATATCAGTTTTTTGGATTGTTAGGAATTTAGGTATTTTCATGTTTAATTTGATCCAGAAAAACCCTCGCAAATTTATGACCACAAATATGTGCATGTGTGATATATTACTACTAACAACAGTAGTAAAAACATACCCGACAAACATGCTGATCATAGCAAAAAATCTACTGAATTGAACATATTCAGTAAGAGATGTATACCCTGTGGAGGGACCCATCCTCAAAGCACCGGTGGCTCCATGTGCACTAGTCGACATAGTGCGTTACTCGAAGTCGCAGACTACAGTCGATGCAGGAAGGTGTTCACAGTGCAGTCTCGCGTACGTTCACTAGGAAGAAGATGCAGCAGAGACGTTGCAGGTTCAAGAACACTCGAGGAGAAGACGATGTAGATCGGCAGCGACTAGTCGCGTTGGATGCTACCAAAAACCTAATCGCCCAACACACCCGAATAGGTGTCGCAGATGCGGGCGTGGTTCCAGAGGCCTGGTCTTCCAATCCACCGGGCGCTTAGAGGGTCAAAACGAGAAACTTGGGAGCAACTCAACAGACAAAAGTGCGTGTGGTATTCTGTATCTCGTGCACGCAGCTGAAAGGGAGCACAACTTTCTTATAGACACGAAAGATAATAGACGAAAGGTAGAGGATGAACCTAGATTTCACGAAGCACTTATCAATTACTAGTAACCGCTGGTGTGAATATGGGAGTTACTGATAACTATAACTATAACCATAACCATAACCATAGGAGTTACTGTTAACTGAAGCCATAATCATAACAGTTACTAAGTAACCGTGGCCATAACCATAACCATAACTGTTAGACCTTAGAATTTATTTATTTAGTTAAATAAAATATGGGCACAAAATCGTTACACGGTAAAAATAATAACACATAAAAAAAACTCTGGTCATCACGTGTTGTCCGTTTTTATCGGTCTTTTTTATGGTTTATTTAGAATTGGATGTCTGAGATATTCATGACTGAAGCAGCAAACATTGTCTGAATTCATACTAAACCGTCATCACTAGAGCAACTTTGAGAGATTCGTTATTTCATTCCTAATTTATATGAATAGAGATTTTCTTAATTGGATATTTAAATATAGGCCCCGTTCGCTTCGCTGAACCAAGCCGAGACACTGTTCCGGCTGAAAAAACAAGCTGGAAAGTACATATTATAAGAGAAGCGAACAGGGCCATAGACATCCTTGATTTCGAATCCCTCTATTTCGACAATGGATCTTTAAATTACGCATAAGATATAAAAAAAATTGGAGGATAAAAAATATAGAGAAAGGTTTTACTCAAATGACTTTCTATAGGGGCTAGAGGCTAGATAGCCCCTAGAAACCCGGTACTCCTAATTAACACGCCTGGCTGGTGCCTACCCTTATAAATCCTAGCCAGAGTGACACCGCGGGGATTCGAACTTGGTTGCGCTGGTGCTGCTGACAACCCAAGCCCTCCGCCCCTCCCCTTTGAGTGCTTGTTTGCTTTGGTTGTAATTACCGTCATTAGCATCAAACGAGCATCTGGTCTGGGCCTGGTGGAGGTCCACCTTTGTTCGTTCTAGCTTTATCATCGATTGTAGCTACAACTAGAAGCCAGCGATAGCTACAAGCAGCACCAGAGCATGGCCGTTTTTTTCGAAGCAACTGGATGGCCTGCGAACAGTTGTGCTTTACAGCCTTAGCCAGCCAATGACCAAAGGCACACGGCGGACTCTTTCTTTCTTCTTTCTTTACCCACGCCCCACGGGCCGCGGCCAGAGCCATAGCTGGGAAGGCGAGGCGAGGACCATCTCGCTCCCTTGCGCGTTTGGGGCGGCGCGAGAGCTGAGTTGACAGAGTTGAGGCCGCCGAAGCTCCGATCCGAGCGAGCAAGGAAATCGGGATCTGTCAGAATCTTCGTCAGCCCTTGCACTGGTAAGCCCCAATTAATCCCTTCATCGTCTCATCTAGTAGTACCTTGTGGTCGGGCAAAGCAAATGACTTTGTTGCTGCAAACTTATATTACCATAAGTAGTATATAATTTAGGATAGCAGCATCAGAACGGGCCAGTGGAGGAAAGCCAATCTTCTCCGTCGGGGACAGATTCTTACCAGACTGTATAAGCCGACCAGCCTCACTGTCTTCACATGAACAAAGAAAACAATAATAAGCGATTTGGTTTTGGTTCAGTTCCTTGGTTAACGAAAAAATTCGTTTCTTAGAAAATGAGATCCGACCGGTTCCAAAAAAAATTTAGGAACCAAGCATTTCGGTTTTTGGTTATTTCGGTTTGTTCCAGTTCTAACCGAACTAACTGATTTTTTTTCGGTAGAGGTTAAGCCAAAAAATTATAGGTTCTAAAGCAACCCTATTCGCTGAACTTATCAGCCTGGCTTATTAGTCATGGTATAGTGTTTTTCTCTCACAACAAATCAGCGAATAGTACTTTTCAACCCAGCTTTTAAAAAAACTGGACCTGCGGGGGGAAAGCCACCCCCGAGCATTGCATTAAGAAGAAGAACCTTCTCATGCAGGTCCAGAAAACCCCCGAACCCCTGCCCCACCCATACACAGCGGCACCGTACCCCTGTGAGAATAGGGCCGTTCCTTAGACCTATGCTTTAGCGTGGGACAGACGAGGGGATTTTTTTAACCCCAGCCTGAAATTCGCTCCCACGGGGAGTCGAACCCAGGACCTGAGGAGTGCCGCTGGGACGCTCTAACCAGTTGGACTAGAGGCCCTTTGGCCAACCCAGCTTTTCAGCGAAACGAAATAATAATTGATAAAGGAACAATATCAATATAGTAACACAAATACATAGCAATTCAACATGAGACATCACACAGACTAAAGATAGTCTTACATAATTCAAGTAAGTGAAGTACAGTTCATGTATTTCGATCCTTTCGGTTAATTTGGTTATCTGAAATTTCCTCTATTATTTCGGTTCCTTGCTATTTAGAACTAAGGAACCAATTTTTCAGTTCTGGTTCTTTCGTTTCGGTTTGTCAGTTTCGGTTAATTATGCCCACCCCCCAACTGCCCCAAGCGATTAGTATCTCCAATTAGTTGCACCGTGCTATTTTAGCAAGTGATCCCTTCAGTTTTGCCTTGCAAATTAAACAAATGGCATAATTAAGCCGCTGGCAGCAGTTGGGGTGCATATGACATCTCCAAACCTCTGTCTTAATTGCTTTCCTTCATGCAAGTCCCTGCCTTGTACTCATATGTAAGATTGAGCTACAAGTTTCACGTATTCAACTCCAAATGACGGATAAACATTGACTTCTCTAATGCTAAACTCAATGCCCATCCAGCATGAGCCTATCCAAGGCTATTGGAGTCCTTAGTGGCATCAATGAGTTTGGTAACTTGTTCCAGTTGGTCACATCTGCTGTCTCATATATGTGTTCCAAGTGGAATGGATCACAGGAGAAACAACAACTTAAACAAGATGATCTACTGCAGTTGCAAAGTGACCTTCAACGCCTTACTGATACTCTACCGGCAATGTACAACCTCATTGATCGAGCGGAGTGGAGGATCCATGTACCCTCTGTGGCACAGCTCCTTCCAAAACTCAAGGATGCTGTATATGATGCGGAGGACCTTCTGGATGAGTTCAGATGGTATAAGCTCAAGCTGGAAACTGAGGGCAACAACGATGCATCCCAGATGTTTCCTTTCATTGACTTCTTTCACAGTGTCACCCATGGAAGCTTCAACAAAGTGACTGATATACAGACCAGGTTAAGTCATCTTTCTGCCCAGCTTGAGAAGATGGGCATGCATGAGGCAACTCCACGGTTTGACAAATCGGTCAGGCCACCGACCACATCTTTCCGCACTGAGCCAAACATACTTGGTCGAGACAAGGAACTGGAGGAGGTGATGAGATTGCTTGGTGTACCAGCACCAGACCATGGTAGCAGTAGCAGGCGCAGGTCTACTTCCAAACGGAAGAGAACTGCTTCTAGTGCAGCCGATAGTACTGAACCAATAAGGATACCATATGTTCCTGTTTTGCCAATAGTTAGAATCGGGGGTGTTGGAAAAACTACTTTAGCCCACGAGATCACTACACTTCCAAGTGTTAAATCCCACCTTGACAATATCATTTGGATTTGTGTCTCGGATGACTTCGATGAGGAGAGGTTTACTAAAGTTCTCATAAAATCTCTATCTAGAAAAGAGGCAACAGCCGATAATTTAGACGATCTTCAACAAGTGCTTGCTGAAGAAGCTGGGGAAAAAAGGTTCTTGCTCATCCTTGATGACATTTGGCCTGCTGCCTTGAATGATGGGCAGCGTTGGAGGAAATTTTGTGCACCTCTGACAAAAGTACTTAAGGGAAGTATGTTGTTGGTGACCACTAGGTTTGCAGAGGTTGCTGATATAGTGGGCACAATAGAGTCCTTTGTATTGGAAGGCTTGAAAGAAGATGTATTTTGGGATTTTTTCAAACTGTGTGTGTTTGGGTCTGATGATTCTGACATTGATCCACAGTTAGAGCAGATTGGTAAGAGCATACTTGTAAAGCTCAAGGGTACTCCTTTAGCTGCCAAAACTATGGAAGGCTTTTACGAAAGAGCCTTACCTCTGCACATTGGAATGATATACTAAACAACGAACTGTGGCAAATTGAACAGAAGGAAACTGACATTTTGCCAGCTCTTCGGTTGAGCTACATGTATTGACCTTTCCATTTGAAGAGATGCTTCTCATTTTGTGCTGTATACCCCAAAGACTACAATTTTAAGAAGGCTATTCTAGCTGAAATTTGGGTGGCAGAAGAATTTGTGGATACTCAAGGTAGCATTCCACTTCAACATATCGGTGAGCAGTACTTTGAAGACCTTGTAAATTTGTCCTTCTTCCATAAACTCCGTGGTAAATATGTAATACATGACTTGATGCATGACATGGCACTTCTAGTGTCCAAGGACGAGTGCTTCATTCTAAAGAATACAAGTGGGATCGAAAAAGTTCCTCCAAACGTTCGCCATCTGTCGATACTATCAAGCAGTGGTGTTAAGTGTTCTGACTTAATGAGTCTAGGCAAGCACACAAAGCTGCGCACCCTGCTTTGCAGCAAGTATTTCAGGAGTCAGACTTCTTTTCTGATGGATCGCTGGTTTGATGAACTTGGGTGCGTGCGTGTTTTATTTTGTGCCTTCGAAATGAAATAATTACCAGAGAGGATAGCCAGTCTGAAACATCTCCGGTACCTTGGAATCTCCAGAAATTGCCATTTCAACGAAGTTCCTTCATCATTCTGGAGCCTCTGTAACTTGCAGATTTTGTATGCCAGGAGATGCACATTTGAAAGATTGCACATAGGTGCCAGTAAGCTGATCAATCTGCAAAAGTTTGAATCACGTATTCTTGAAATGAAAGTTGATGCTACGAAGTTGGTAGAGCAAATTGGGTTCATAAACAATTTTCCAGATATAAAAGATTTGGTTATATATAATCTAGGCGCGATAAGCAAGAATCATGCAGCAAAGGTGGAACTTAGGAAGAGGAAAGATCTTAATAGTTTGACTCTGAGTTGGTTTTTGTTCAGATCTCCAGAACACAATGAAATAGAAGTGCTTGAAGCCCTACGACCTCCAACCAGTGTGAAATCTGTGCACATCGAGGGTTATCCAGGTGAATATCTTCCAAGCTGGTTTCCTGGTTCTGATCGTGCCATGCCAGTTTCTGGTACAATTTTGTCATCATTAACAGAACTGAGGATTGAAGGGTGTCAGAACCTAAGTGATTGCAGATTCGAACAATTTCTACAACCAACTTATGTACCTGCCATCAGAAAAATAGAGATCGCGCATTGCAGAAATGTAAAATCAGTACGAATTGAACAATTTCTACAACCAACTCCCCTTGAAGAACTGAAGGTGTACAATTGTCCAAGCATCACACATCTGTTGGCGCGAAAACTCAAACTGAAATATTCTGGCAACCTCGGAGACAGCATCGATTGCAGTTCCCTCACCATCTTGCATCTATCGTGTGACAATGTGGCATCCATTGACCTACAAAAGTGGAGCCTTCCAGTGCTACAGGAGCTCAAGATCAGTAACTGTCCATGTCTGATATCTATTAGAGACTCTGAACAAGTGCAGGTACCCACTGACCTTTCCCTTGGCTGGACCAGACGCAGCACTGCAAAACTCCCGTTCCTCACTCACCTAACCATCCAATGCTGCTACAAGCTGGAAACTCTTGATGGCCTCCTAACGCATGAATATCTCCCTGCCATCAAGGAACTGACCATTTCGTCTTGTCCACGTCTCAACTGGCAAAGTGGAATGATGTTGCCATCCTCCATTCAAAAGCTCAAGTTATGGGATTGTGGGAATATTTCTCGCAGCTGCCAGGGGAACCTCACATCCCTACTAGAACTAAGTGGTTAATTGTTATTATCTCCAATCCATCACTCAATTGATCTAGTTTTCTTCCAAGTCAAACTAGTTATCTTATACTGTATATGTTTGATCAAGTTTATAGAACAGGAGTATTATTTACATTTACTATGACAAGGTCCACTTCCAGCCACTCTTTCTAATCTCGTCCAACTAAAAAGCTTGTAAGTAAGATTGTGTAGATGGAACCGTTAGGCTCCCCCGCTCCTCCGCCCCCCCCGTCGCCCCGGCCCAGATCCATGCGCTTGCATTGGCCCTTGTCTTGGTCATTGTCTTGCGACTCGTGCTCCCACCCCAGGCTCGTCCTCCTCATCCCACTCGCAAGGCGTGCGGTGGCCCCCAGCCACAGATCGAGACCGTCTCCCGTCGCTCCCCACCCCATGCGTCGCCTCCCCGCCGCCCAGCCCCCAAATCGACCACCGTGGGGCCGAGTCTCCAACTCCGCGCGCCCGTTGCTGCGCCCGCCGCCTCTCACGGTGCGGCCCCTGTTCCCATCTCGGTCGCCGTGGGGCCGGAGCTCCGCCTCGACGAAACCAATGCTACTATCGCCGCCGCCACCGGAGGGTATGACAAGACAGGAAGCATGTCGGGCAAGCGCGTCAAGTTCACCTCCCCCCTCTGCAACCCCCCGGTGAGATGCTACTACTCCAATGCCGCTACGCCAACCAAATCCTGCCTCAGATCCGCTGCAGTGAGGAGTACCGCTGGCGCGCAATCCGCCGGGCATTCAACTCCCCACCTCCGATCCAAAGACCCGGCTTTGATGGAGTTTTTCCTTCCCGAGGGGATGGCTCGGTACATCCACCGGCCGTGGCGGTGGCCGATGAGGCGCATTCACGCGCGACGCCTCATGTTAGAAGATGAAGACGGATGGTCAATGAGTGCGCTCGAGAGCCGGTGGCGCGTCTCCGGAGTTCAAAAAGCACGGCGCATTCAACTCCCTCAACCACCCGAGTCAAATCGGCGCGCCACCACCACCACAGCGATGATCTGCGGTGGCGTATGAAGGTAAATGCCTCTTTGTCTCTCCCTTAGCCCCCTTGCTGCGGTGATTGCGAGGACCGGTGCGGTGTTTCACTTGTGGTCATTGGGGCATAAAAGCTTTGTGTGCTGAGCGGACCTTCATCCTCCAGGAAGCAAGCTCCACGCCCAAGAAGGCGCTCCTCCACCACTCGGCGACAACAACTTCCCACCTCTGGGTGCGGCGTGATGGCTGGGCAGGGGACCCATTGTTAGATCCTCCTCTGGACACTGCTTGCCGTGGCCTTCTCCGTCGACAACATGGACCAAGAGCTCGACCGTCTCTCCATGCATGGCATAGTGGCCTGGCTGGGGGGGGGGGGAACCGGCCGGTGGTGGAGCCGGAGGTCATCAAGAGGGCCATCTGCCACCAGTTTTTGGTTCGTCCGGAGGATGTCACCGTCGTCAGGCACGCCCCTGAAGACTTCTTCGTCGACTTCAAGCACCGGCACCACCGCGACGAGGTTGTGGCGCAGGGGACCTTCCCCTATCGCAACCTCGACATCCACACAAGGCCGTGGCAGCTGGTCACGCACAATGACATTTGCGACCTCAAGTACCGCGTCCGCCTGTGCCTGGAGGGCATCCCCCTTCACGCTTGGAACGAGAGCATCACCAAGAGGGCTGTCGCCAGAGCCTCTTGTGTCTGGAACGAGAGCATCGCCCGACACCAGGGCACTCTGTGTCTGGGCCTGGACACACAATCCGCCCGACATTCCGAAGGTAACCTGGCTCACATTGTCCTGCAGGAAGGCGAGTTCCTGACGCATGACTGCTGGCATGCCACGGGGGCTCACCTTGTGGTGCTGGTGCACCTTGATGCAGTGGAGGACCCTCCGGGTAGAGATGGGACGTTTCTTGCTCCCAGCAGTATACACGTGGGACTACGGGGTCGTTGATGGAGAAAGGACGCCGTGCGACCGCCACGACCCTCCACCTGTTGACACCCACGGCATCCATCGCGACGACGATGACGACTGTCGTGGACGCTGGGAGTGCCAGGGCGACAACTGGTACTCGCGTCTCACCCGCAGCCTTTCGCGGGCGCCCAAGGACAGCGAATGGGAGCGGTCGGAGTCGAGGCACGGTGGCCGTCGGCACCAGAGCCCCAAACACGGGGGTCGTCGTCGCCCTCTACACGACGTCCCTGCTGGCCTTGGCGCCCGCCATTCTGCCCCAAGCGACGCTGCTGGCCATGGCGCCCGCCATTCTGCCCCAAGCGACGCTGCTGGCCATGGCGCCCGCCATTCTGCCCCAAGCGACACTGCTGGATATGGTGCAAACACAAGGGCTCGGCAGCTGCTTGCCAAGCCACGACCCCCGGTCGCCGGGGATGTACAATATGAGAAACGGGGGATCTGGCGAGGAACGACGCTTGACAGTATCGCGCGGCGCTTTCGAGGCCGAGGGACCACAACGGCGCGCCAAGTCCCCGTCACCGCGCTGCATACTGTTAAGTCGCTGACTTCAATGGTGGCAACGGCAACAACCATCACCCATCACCAAGCCCTCCCAAGGTTCGTGTTAATCAAAGTCAATTCAATGATCGGCCTTTCACTCCTTCGCTCCCAGCTTCCCCATCCTCGAAGCCGAACGCCCCACCTGATGCTGCAGCGCTGAGCAAGACCGCACCACCGAGCGGCTCATCTTCGGAGCCGCTGACGACCGCTGTGATTCTTTCTTGCCTGAATGAACTGCAGGTTCCCCCCGTCAGCGACCACGACAACGCGACACGGTAGCGATCACACCCCGCTGTTGAACGTCGCTTCCGCATGGGACGAGTCTACTCCAGGCGCCCATGTGTACCCCCCCCACAACGGAAGCAGGCACAAACGGTAGGAAGCACCCAGGTGGTGTGGTTCCGCCTTGGGCTTGTCTACTCCAGACGCTGCGCCCGCGGAACGGCCACCAACTGCTCGCGCCGTCGACGCATGGCAGATGGACTCCAGCAGCAGCATCCGGGCTAGACCAGCGTCTGTCACACTAGCACTTCGTAGGTACACGACGTCGCTGGCCAGAGCACAACGCCCACTGCAGCGGGGGTGTCACAGTTTCTAGAGGGGATTTCACAACCTTTGCCTCAACCCATTTTGCAGGGTCTAGTGCACCAGCCTAGCCCGCCACAGCGACGCAAGAGGCCACCGGTCCCGGCACGCAGGAGCATGCACATTGCAGCCAAGAACTGGCCGAGGGGTGACACTCAGGCGAAGGCCAGGCAGGTACTTATGAAAAGGCTTGGCATCCTCGACGTCCAAGGTCTCAGCCATGACGAGGCATTGCTGCGCTACTTCAACCTGTTCAAGGGACCACTCACCGCCGACGCCGTCAAGGCGCTGACGGCATTGTGTGGCCTCGACACGGCGGCACCGCTGCCCACCACGAACGCCTAGATAGCTGCTGAATCTCAGGGGTAGATCATTGGACTATGTTAGTAATCGTTCACCGCTACGGGAGCCCCGGGAGTTCCACATCTTTTGTGAGTGTCCAGCTATGGTGCTTGGGTGGGGCGACAGCCAGAGGCCTACAGTCGCCTCCCCACCACACTGCTTGGACCCTTCATCTCGTAGTTAGCTGTAGCATCAACTCTGTGAGCAACAAACTTTTGCTTTGTATCACTCTGCCGATAGCCACTGGCTTTGAGATGTATCGACGACTCCAATTTGCAGCTCTCATGAACTCATGCCTCCGTGTCATTATCTTACTGCTTATTGCCAGTACCACAGCCCCAGATGGCATCCTGCTTGCCTCCCTCCTCAGATTATTATTAAAAAGGGGCCAATTGGTTTCCTTATGGCACCGTTGAATTGTCAGATACTTAACTGGAACGTCAGGGGCTTGAATGACGGAGCACGACAGGACTCGGTGTGCGAGTTAGTGAGAACCACTACTGCCACCATCGTATGTCTACAAGAAACAAAGATGCAAGTTATGGATCATAATGTGGTGCGCCGAACAGTCGGAGCGAAATTTGTAAACTCCTATCTTTGTACCTATGGCGGAGCAGACTCGAGGAGGTGTCTTCCTTGCGGTGAATGAAGACTTCTTGACCTCTCCGACATTGTACTTACCTCAACGCCATAACCCGCTTGAGATCAACATGAGGGCCGATGGAACAAGGTGGCAAATTATAGTGGTATACGACCCGAGGAGAGAGCGACCAAACTTCAATTCCTCCAAGAATTGAAGAACATTCCCCCGCCGGTCCACAATAGATGGCTCATCCTGGGAGATTTCAATCTCATCTACCAGGCGGAAGACAAGAACAACTCCAACCTAAACCGGCGCCTCATGGGGGCATTTAGAGCGACGATCGATCATTTGAGGCTCAAAGAAATCAAGCTAAATAGACGCCGCTTTACTTGGAGCAATCAACAGGACAACTCGATGCTCACTAGAATTGACAGACTACTATGTACCCCCGAGTGGGACCTGCTCTTCCCCGCGTGTTTCTTACACTCCCTCCCATCGCTCATGTCGGACCACACCCCACTGCTACTCCAGGGAGAGCTTGACCACCATCAGAGCACGTCCTTCTGCTTCGAAAATTACTGGACTAAGATGGAAGGCTTTCAAGATCTTGTCCATAATTCTTGGAATAGGCCGGTCGCCTCTGCTTTTCCTATGAAACGCTTGCATATCAAAATGGCGCGTGTGGTAAAAGCGATCAAGCATTGGAAGAAAGACAAGATAGGGGATACGAGGATACAACTCGCCATAGTGAAAGAAGTATTGTTACAATTAGAAGCAGCCCAAGAGCATAGGTTACTCACTGCCATGGAGCTTCACCTATGTTGCCGCCTCAAATCCCGTAGCACTAGGCTCGCTGCTATTGAAAAATCAAGAATCAGACAGAGATCGAGGCTAACATACATCCGATGTGGAGATGCTAACACAAAATTTTTCCACAGTAGAGCCAATGCACGACGGAGAAAGAATTACATACATTGTCTACATACGGATGGGGGAATCGCGGTGGCTTATCAAGATAAAGAAAAGGTGATACAAGATTATTTTAGAAACCACATTGGCTCCGCGGCGCCGGGAGCTTCCACAATCAACTGGCAATCCCTTGGCTACAATCAACATGATCTCTCCGATCTGGAGGTGCCTTTCTCCCAGGACGAGATAAAAAGCACTTTATATTCCATGCCTTCTGACAAAGCGCCAGGACCGGATGGCTTCACGGGTGCCTTCTTCAAAGCTTGTTGGGAAACCATTAAAGATGATGTTATGGCAGCCATGAACAGTTTATTCACATTGAATGCCCAGGGCTTCGAATGGCTAAACTCGGCTTCCATTATCATTCTACCCAAAAAAGCGGATGCAACAAGAGTTACTGATTTTAGACCCATCAGCCTAGTCCATGGCATTGCAAAGATCTTCTCCAAAGTGTTAGCTAACAGACTTGCCCCTCGACTCAACTCCCTCGTCTCGAACTGCCAGAGCGCATTTATAAAAAAAGAAGCATCCACGATAATTTTTTGTACGTCCAGGGCGTGGTAAAAAGACTACACAAGCAGAAGATTCCGGCTTTGTTCATGAAACTAGACATCCACAAAGCCTTTGATACGGTACATTGGGGGTACTTGCTTGAAACTCTACAGGCTCTGGGCTTCGGACAGCGATGGCGTGAATGGATCTCTATCCTCCTACGTACATCCACCTCGACACCCATGCTGAATGGGCGGCAGGGGGCCACTTTTAGCCATGCCAGAGGCGTCCGCCAGGGAGATCCGCTTTCACCCATGCTATTCATCCTGGCTATGGACCCGCTTCAACGTTTGCTTGACCTAGCAACCCAACAGGGGATACTCACCCCCTTACCAATCACGGTGGCAAAATGGAGAACCTCGATGTATGCAGATGATGCGGCCATTTTTATCAGCCCCACAAAAGACGATGTAGAAGCCGTCAAAATCATCCTGCAGGCTTTTGGCACATTCTCGGGACTCCATATTAATCTACAAAAGAGCTCAGTACATCCAATCGGTTGTGCAAACGTCGACCTAGATCAAGTCCTGTCACCTTTCACCGGTACTAGAGGGGGCTTCCCATGCAAATATTTGGGGCTGCAACTCCACATTAGATCACTGCAAAGGATCCATGTGCAACCTCTCATATACCGTATTGGGCACAGGCTACCCAAATGGAAAGGAAGATGGCTAAACAGAGCGGGACGCCTCACTCTTGTAACCTCTGTCCTCTCCTCCATGCCAACCTACCACCTGACAGTGTTTCCTCTGGCCGCTTGGGCTAAGAAAAAGATCGACAAAATCAGGAGATCTTTCTTGTGGAAGGGGGAGGAGAATGCTAATGGCGGTCACTGCCTCGTTAACTGGCGTACAGTTACCAGACCAAAAGACCTTGGTGGTTTAGGCGTCCCTGACCTGGAGAGATTTGGGCGAGCCCTCCGGTTGCGCTAGCTTTGGCAAGAATGGGTGGACGAGTCCAAGTCTTGGAGCAGCTCGGAGCTTCCATGTTCTGATGATGACCGCCTCCTCTTCAACTCCTCAATCATTATATCTTTGGGGGATGGTGCAAAGACTAAGTTTTGGCACCACAGTTGGCTCGATGGACAAGCTCCTAGGTACCTAGCCCCGAACTTGTTCCGCCTAGTCTCAAGGACAAACCGAACGGTGCAACAAGAGCTCCGGAACAACAATTAGATGCATAAGCTAGGAAGGAAAATTAACTCGGCTATCCACATAGAGGAGTTTGTGTCCCTCTAGATACGAATACAGGATGTGCACCTACAACAAGGCGTCCAGGACACCATCACCTGGCGTTGGACCAATGATGGGAATTACTCCACCCGCTCGGCCTACAGAATCCAATTCAGAGGTTCGCTCCTCCCCTTCCGTACGGACTTGATTTGGAAAGCGCATGTGGAGAACAGATGCAAGATCTTCGCCTGGATCTTAGTGCAAGATAAAATTCTAACGGCACAAAACCTACAAAAGAGAGGGTGGCCACACCAACAACAATACATGCTGTGCAACGGTCCCTTAGAGACAGGCCTCCACCTATGCCTTTGTTGCCCTTTTGCTAAGGCGGTTTGGGATCAAATCCTCTCGTGGGAAAACTTCACTCAACTGCAACAACAGCACCAGGTAGACCCCACCCATATCAAGTCATGGTGGGAAGACGCGGCAGCGAAAGTGCCAAGATCTGAGCGTAGGCGGCTTAACGGGGTAGTAATCTACACCTTTTGGAATATATGGAAAGAGAGAAATAGGAGAATCTTCGACAACATGATAGAAACGGTGCCGCAAGTAGCCGCAAGGATAAAGGAAGACATAGAGCAAAGGAAGAGAGCACTTGATTACGTTTAGCTCACATGCTTATTGGGGGGGGGTTTGAAAACATAATCTCGTTTGTCCTTGCTTGTACATAAACTTTTTTTCCCTATCTTAATTGAAAGGCAGAGCTCCTGCTAGTGCGTTCAAAAAAAACATTTACTATGACACCAAATAAGTTTGCTGAAAGTAAATTCCATAGCTACACTGTGGTTTAATATAAAAACAAAATGAAGAGGGAGATTAATTCCCTTGTTTCTGCATAATATAATGCTAATGTAGCCACCACCACCCTGCATGCATATATATCATCGTCGTTGTTGTGTCTCATTCCACTGCATAGCATCTGCATCCTGCATCTCAGATCAGATTCTCATCATACGTACCCAAGGCAGAGGCGTGCACAGACGAATTCTTTGGAGTCGTTGAAGCACGAGTCCATCCCGTACTCATACTACATGCAGATTCAAAGAACCGAGATGACAGACATCTCCATCAGTCACAGCTGAGGCAAGTGTACATATAATATATACATGCATGTTATTAAACTGAAATGGCCGGGTACGTACCAGAATCCAGAGGAAGTGTAAATGATCTGGAAGCCATTCTGCAGAGACAGAGAGCATGCATATGCACTATGCAGAGCAAAGACAGACAGACAGACAGAGTTCAGTTCAGACTTGAGAGTTGAGACTGACTGAGCACATTGCAAATTGGTTGCAAAGGCGAATTAATAAAACATACATGCAACGGAATGGAGAGACAGCACCGATCGACGGACCTGGAAGAGGGTGAAGTGGATGAGGAAGAGCACGAAGGTTGGTTTTGCGAACCAGAAGTAGGAGTCGCTGACTTGCACGAGCGGGATGCCCTGGATCACGGCGTGCCGCTCCGTGATGTCGATCGCCATGCGGCAGATGATGCCCTGCAGCTTCGTCCCCACGGACAGGATGATCACCACCGGCATGATGGACATCGTCATTCATGGATTATTCAATATTGGAGCAAGAGGAAAATGTATGATGGAGGAATAGGATCCTAGGACTGGTGGATATATACAGAAGATGGATCGAGCAGCTCACCATTGACATTGACATTGAGAAAGAGGAAGATGAGAGCAGAAGCCCAGAGGGGAGGACTGATCCCCACGATCACCTTGAAGTCGTCCTCCAGTGACCGCTTGATGTACTTCTGGAAATCAAACTTGCTGCCAGGGGCAAGATGCACCTGCATACACGTACATACGTTACTGCTGATTGCCAAAGATTCAGTTAATTAATTAAATGCAGCACGACAATATACATATATAGCTGGCTGAATGAATGAATGAACAAGTTGGTGACATACGTTGACAATGCTGTGGCGCAGCGCGCAGTAGTCTGCCTGCCTCACGGATCTGAAGAACTGCCAGAAGAAGTTGCTCTGCCGGAAGACAATTGACAGTCAGTCAGTCAGTCTGTAGCAATTCGTTTCGTTTCGTTTCAGAAAGGTACTGTACTGTATGTATATATATGTTAATCATGCATGAATGCATCTTACGATAGATGTTAGAAGGATGCTGGGAACTTGTTGAGCACATTCATATGCTGCCTCACGGACCTTACATAGTATCACAATATAATCCGGTGCTACAAACGGATCATCCACTGTTTAAAAAAATATACCGGTGGAGCAACATCTAGTGGGGCTTGGTATGGGTTATTTTTTGGATTTAGGAACAAAGAATATTCCGGCCTCCCACATCCACGCATGAACGAGTATATATAGACGATATGGGTTGTTTACATCTACTAGTCAATTTTGGGAAAAAGTCTGTATAAGCCCGTGTATCTACTTCACCCATGAACTATGAAATCATATATTGAGCACCCAAAACTTTCACTAACCGGCTATTTAACCTCTTCTAGCGGTACAGGCTGGTTCACCTTGACATGTTGACTTTAGGCACCTAAACCTAGTCACCTACTCTGCCCGTCCCTAAGGAACTGTCATTTTTTGTTTTCGTGCCGTAAGTTTGACTGAATTTGTAGAAAATACGTACAACATTTGTATCTCTAAATAAATTTATTATGAAAATATATTCAACGATCTATCTAATGATATTAATTTTGTACCATAAATATTAATATTTTACATATATATTTAGTCAAAGTTGTTTATCAGAAAACAAAAACGACAGTTATTTAGGTCACTTTTCCTATATTTCAAGTGCCTAAATTTTAAGATAATTTTAGGCAACACTCTTTTATAATCAACTAGTACAAGTAAATCATTATTTTTGTGATTTATTATTTGCCTTTGTATCATAAAATATTAAATTTTTGTCCTTGTCTAACTATAGAAATAATTGTAAATTGCTAATTTTCTTTGTGCTGATCCAGAACAAACTTGGTGGGATTCGTGGCTTTGTCCAACGGTTTTTTATTCTTGGAGCAAAAAATTGTAGATTATGTCTACATAAATAAATTACAATGAACTAGAACTGCAATTTTAGTATGAAAATATATGCAATAACTGTCGTCTGAAAGGAAATTAAAATTCAGGCACCTGAATTTTAGCAAATCCCTATTTAGGAATGGAGGGAGTACACTTTGCTCCAACTAAGCTTTAGTTCTAGGGGGATCTAAACAAACTTTAAACATTCGGTGATTAAACTTTAGTTTAACTAAATTTTAGATAGTCTTAAGACAAGTTTGTCCTAGAAATTTCCAAATTTAAAAGAAACACCATCGAACAAGAAATTCCTCGTCTATTGAAGTCTCTTCCACTCCAGAAAGAGAGAAAAAACACCTAGTAGCTATTTACACAGATGATAGATCTAGTGGGAGTGTTCGACTGCATCAGTTGTGAGAACGATACACTGTTGTAGAATGGTTGTTGAGGAAGGTTGTAACCAGCAGCCGAACACTCTGTACCTATATATACTCTCTCGGTTCCTGAATAAATAGATTTATAGTAAGTTTAGGATATATTAGTATGATAAAGAAAAAATTATATAAACCCTTCATCAATTAGAGTAGTTACACAGTAATCGGTGATTGTTCCAACTACATAGACTTAACACTAGATTAAGAGATGGGAAGAGGTACAGTAAATGTGAGAAGACTTTGAGAAAAATAAATGGACCAGTGGACCATTCAGCCTCATGGAGATTGATTTATTTGTAGAATTTTTTTTAACCAGAAATCTATTTATTCAGAGGGGGGTTGAGTATATACATAAATCCATAAAAAAGCTCAGTTTTACCCAAAACACACTTCCATAGTGCGAGCTGGTGCTGGACAAAATATGTGCAAAGTCCAAGGGAGGAGAAGAAAATCTCACACCCATGGTATGACAAGTAAAGACAGGCATGGGCCCGGTGCACGCTCCTTCCAAGGAGCCGATCTCAGAGAACACAGAACAGTGTCCGCATTTCAAACTGGGCTCCATAAAGTTGTGTCGCCTCGCCTGTAGCCGGTAGGATAGCAGCTGGTGGAGAGGAGAGAGAGAGAGAGAGAGAGAGAGAGGATGGATTCTCAAGCGCCGCTTCGTCCTCTAGCTTTCGCCTGCTTCATCTTCCTTTGCTCATCCTTCTGGGCAGCAAATGGGATGCACGCTAGGGTTGGTGCGGCGGCGGCGGATGGGGAGAGCAGGAGGATGCGGCTGCACACCGATGGGAGCCGCGGCGACGCGCACGCATGGCCTGGGTACCTATACACCCGAGCAGTTGGGAGATGCACACCCCAGTAAGCAACTCAAACCACTCCCAGCCCCATTCCTGGAATCAAATGCAGTGCCTTTCTTAGGTGGATGTTAAGAGGATTTGACTTTCAGTTGGTTATTTTAGCAACTTTTGTTGGTCAGTGTTCACTATTCAGTTAGACATTAAATCTATTCTAAAAAAGGAAATGAATAAGAGGTTGAATCTTGGGATGTTCCTGCCGTCCTGCGTGTAAATCTTTCCTAGTCAAGAAAATGGGTGGTTTCAGGTTAGATAGAGTACACATTGTAGGGGCTGGAGGCTTGTACCTTACTAAGGCTATCCGCACCTAGCACCGCTAAACAGCCCTGCAGCATGCGGTGGCGTACCGCGCGCTCGCACTGTGCGCCTGCAAACGGCTCTGCAGCACGCGCGCGCCTGCCCACCGCTACTTCCAGCGTACCGGCCGCACAGCATGCTAAACACTGTAGCGTAGAGAGAGAGAGTTGGTGAGAGAGAGAAAGGGGGAGGGAGGGGAATAAAATATGGAATAGTGTTATAGAGTATGGAATAGAGATAACATGGGTGCGGAAGAAATGGATATAGAGTAGAGAATCTCGATGACTAGGATAGAATATTCCTTTTAGAGTATGGAAATAGAGGTTGACGAGTGCGGATAGCCTAAGCTCAACCTTTTAAGTTCAGGATTCAGAGAATGAGAACGCAAGAAAAATGTTAGCCTTTTAGGTTAGGTGATGCAAGATGTGTCCCCAAAATTTAATCTTCTGGGGATGGGTAGATCTCAAATAGTTGTCGGTTCAGCCTAAAATTCCAGCTAAAAGGGTATAAGATTGCTAGGCACTTCTTTGTGAGCCCACCACCTCAAATGTCCTTTCTTGAAATGCCTTGTCGTACACTCCATCCCAAGCTAAATTCTTGAGCAAACCATCCCATGGAATCGTCCTGCTAAGCTGTACAGCACTTGCTCCATCGAGTACGTCTTGACTTTTGAACAAGATAGGGTGTTGTCTGATCAGTTAGAGAGGTTGTTGTAACAATGTATTTCCTGCAGTAATCATGCCATTCCTTATTTGGAGTATCTGTATGTGGCGCATTTTTGCTTCTTTTGAGTTGGTTGTTGTGAATGCACAACCATCATAACAGCTCCTGTCCTGGCCTAGTCTCATGACATGAGGACCATTCACATTGGTTTCATTAATTATATGAATCTATGAACATTTCGTTGATCTCAAGCTTTGGTTGTCGTAGTTGTCCTGTTGTGGGGCGTCCTGTTATTAAGAGACGTTGTTTCATGTTTTGGCCTTGTGGGGCGTTCTCTGCAATAGATGCACTATCATAGCCTCTGCATGATCCAATTATGTGGATCACACCTTTCTACATAAGGCCCCGTTTGAATCCTCTGGATTTTGAGAACATGGATAGAAAAAATACCACAATCTTAGTATGTCATCCAAATGGCCTAGATTTTAAAAGGATTTAAACTCACAGATTTTTAGAATCTCAAAGTCCAATAAAACTATTGGGATTCCTTTTATCCAGATTCTTAGAATCCCTTGGGATTCAAACGGCACCTAAGATTTTTACAGTGAAAAGTCAGCAAAATGGCTAAAACTACCTGCAGGTGCAGCTTGGTAAAAAATCCCTTCCACGAGGAGTTTGAAAAAATAACCATAGTTATGGCCTTATGGGTACTGACAACCAGCTAATTGCTAAACAATATGAGTTCTGAACTTTACTTCTCTGCCCTCTTTTGGGGGAGAATGAAAGGACACTTTCTTTCAGTTTTTTTTTTCCTGGTAGGACCTTAGCGGCTTATCATCTTAAATGGCCTTTTCTTGGCACAAATAAACACTTTTTTTTAGCAGAGGCACAAATAAACACTTTGTGCCCCCACTTTCCTGCAAAATTTATGTCCTGCTGCTCCTTCTGCATTCCATGGCTTTATACCCTTTCTACCTACATATAGATAATAATTGATTCAGCAGGATAAACAACTCACCATTCGTTTCCTGATCAATTTTAAACCTTTGAATAAAAGTCCTTCCATGAATCTAGGGAAGGAAAAGCACATCTGGCAATCAAATAAAACTGAGAACACGTTCCTTTTCCTTCATCATAGTTATTAGCTGCTGGCCTGCTGATGCTCTTTCTGTATGGAGCAGAACTTCCTTTTTGGAAAATTTCCTCGGTAACATCTATTTGTGAGTGGCAGCCAAACACTCTTAGTATTTATTAAGATGGCTGTTGATGCTCTTGCATAACTCTCAAGCAATACATAGATTTGTTTTTGCCATGTCAAAAACTCATGAGTTTCCACAGTGTTCTCCCATTTTATGCAGGAAAATGTTGAGGAAGAGGGATAAAATGTGTAGTACGCTGTCAACATTTTGTTTACATTGCATTTTAAGTATGGAGCAGCTTGAATGAGCTGCCTAACCATCTTTTGTCCAACTAGTTAGTAAACAGCAACGATGAGATCCTCATATCATATTACCGTGTGCAAACACACTGCAGATTCTGGAGCAGTGGAGCTGAGCCATGGCCCAACATCGTCCCTCAGGAAGCGGCGGTGGCGAAGGTCTTCGGCTCTAGGTCCGTGGAGAGGTACGGACCGCGCCTCACCCTACTGGAAGCTACTATGAGAACCGATGACATCGGTGGCAGCGCCTTTGTGAAGCTCGTGAAGCAAGGGAGCGCTGCTCTCCTCAACGCCTACACGAGGAGAGGGTTTCCTTTCGATTCCTGGGAGGTGAAGGCCCTGCTGCTAGAGGCGCTGGTGTCCGAGGAGGCTGCCGTGGTCCAGACGGAGCGATTTGAGCAGGCGAACGAATCCTGTGTTTGATCTTTGGTGGATGGAAATGAAACGATGGTGGCGCTGAAGGGGGCGTAGAGTAGCAGTGTATTGTGTCCGTAGTTGGTCACCACTTCTGTGACTTTGGCGTTGAGGTTTCTGAAGTCTCTTGGTCGCCACTTCTGTCTCTTGGTCGGCATGTTTCTCTAAATGCCGGGGTTTGTGTAATATGGTTGTGTGCACTGATGTGTAGGTTCTAATGTACGGATCGTAATTTTCATTCATGTTCCAATGTTAATGGAAGTTCTATGTTGTCACACGCACCGTCGTGGTATCGTGTTCCTGATGCTTGCTACCGCGCCCTGATTGCACGCACAGCACCATCGCACGTCGTCGGCGTGAGCGACGGGCGCGCCATGGGAACCTGCCTTGCGCCCACGAGACGGTCCCCCAGCACCACGCGCGCAGTTCGTCGTGTTCGCCCAAATCCCAATCCCACGAGGCGCGGCTCCGCGACGAGCTACCGAGCAGGTGGTGAAGGTGAACTGGAGCTGTGAGCTGTGTGTGGCGGCGTCACTTTCGCCGGCGGCTGCACTCGTCGCGGATTTTGCATCGAGACCGCTAGGGCGGCGTGGGGATTTTTTTATTTTTACCAGTTGAGTGCCCGTGCGTTGTAAAGGGAGAACACTTATATAGGGTGATATTCAATTTGAAACTTTCAATTATGTGATACTAAGGTAATTTGGAACTTTCAATTAACAAAGTAAATATGTAAAAAAAAACTAGTTAAATTAACCGTTGCCAACTCCAGAACTATTTTGAAATTTCTTCTTGCCACGCTGTTCACAGCTTCCAAGCATTCGTTGGAATCGGTCTTCAAATGGGTCAAATGCTGCTCTTGCTCGTCTATATATATATATATATATATATATATATATATATATATATATATATATATATATATATATATATATATATATATATATGTGGTAAGGCTATTCTGCAGCTGGCTATAAAATAACTTATTCTATAGCCACCTTGATTTACCATAATGTTTGTACCAATTTACGATAACATAAATATGAATTTACGATACTCGTGTTACTATAACTCACGGTGATATTTATCATAATGTTATAGTAAATCACTTAGTAAGGAGTTACTATAATATGGTAAATTAGCATAGTAATTATCGTAACTCAAAGTGGTCACAGAATAAGTTATTCTATGGCCAGCTGCAGAACAGTATATATATATATATATACTACCTTGTAGCTGCCTATAAAATAACTTATTATGTAGCCATTTTGAGTTACGATAATTACTATATTAATTTACGAGATTATAGTAACTCCTTACTAAGTGGTTTACTATAACGTTATGGTAAATATTCCTATGTGTTATAGTAACTCAACTATCGTAAATATATATTGACATTATCGTTAGGCTGTGCAATCACGCTACCAACCCAGTCAGATATGCGGTAGTACCAAACATTGTTTGTCCTCGATATCACAAGGAGACAAGGAGTATCATATTTGTTGCTTAATAGTTGTATGCTCGTACGTTGCCATGGTATTTGAACATAATAAGAGAAGAGAAGCATGAAAAAAAAACATGATGTTTTAAGATCAGACACACTACAATTTACCTGATCTTAGCATCATTGCTGGTTTGAGCTATGGAGATAAATAAGCATCAATTGTATATAGCAACGTCCAAACAAAGCATGAGCAAAGAACACAAACACTCGATTCAACAAAAACTTATTACTACATCCGAAGGCCATGTCAAGAGAAATTTGACATTTCACATTTATAGTGGCTGTAAGAATATAGGCTTGTATTGCTCGCTGGCACAAAAAGCAATGGCATTCTGCCGACCAGGTTACGAGCACAAGCAACGCACCTGAATGGGGTTGGTGTTGAGGAGCCCCTTAGTGCAGGCGCCTTCCGCTGTTGACTGATTCTCGATGGCGGACACCTCCCTGTACTACACGATCACACGACACCACCGGCACTCTCGATGCACCTCCCCAGTCGCCCCCTCTACTGCCAGCATGACTGAAAATAGGTGGGCGTTTCAAACCAAACACCTTTGGATTACAGTGCTGAACAGCGGTGGCACGCGTCTCATCTTGAGCAACAATAACAGCAGTTCTAATGTCATACAGTGTTCCTAAATAAAATACCACGCCTAGGCAGATTACCTACAAAGAGGCAGATGATGTAAAACAACACACACTAAACTTAGTTTTTAACTGAATCTGAATCGGTTACATGTTACATGGTTTGCAGACAATTTAACAGAGTCATCCACACTTTATTGCAATACTCGCATGATTAAGATGAATTACAGGATTTCCTGAGAAGGTTTCTCACCTCTGCATCTCGCTACTCAATCCAATGCTGTGCATTGCAATGCACATAGATTCCATGACACATCTAAGAGCCAGCCCTTTCTGCTCTGCTCTACTCTTTGATCTTCATTACCTGCAGAAAAGAACTAAGATTAAGAATCAGGGACGGATTAAACGGAGCACTTTCGCAAAGATGGAAAAGGGCCAGAAACTAATTATATGAATTACTGACCTAATAACTAACTAATACCAATTACAGTGCATAATGAAGAAGATTGCTGATGGCCATACTCATCTGGTTCATGTATTTGTCCATGCTGCCGGCTTCTGGCAATAAAAAAATTCATGTAGGGGTGCTTGCTAGTCATTTTTCCAAGAAGTGGGTTATGTTTTGGCTTGATAATCTTGTCTTAGCAAGGATTCCGGGTATTCAAGACAGATTTACTTCAAGAAACTATAGTGTCCTAAATATGCAATTTTGTCGCCAGTTTCATTAAAAAAACATCATTGACAGCATATAAGCTACTGGAGGAATGAAAAGAAAAATACCTTCATGAGATTGGGGGTATAGCCTGCAATTCTGAGCTCACATCTCCCTTTTAAAGCTGGCAACAAGTCCTTCATCGTATGTTCCCTTCCAGGATTCCAAGCATAGATAATAGGCTCGGTTCTACCTAGAAAAAGGCTAACCTCATGTCGCCGCATCCATCGCAATAGTAGGCCTCTCCCTCTCCGCACGCCCAGGAGGCCCTCCTGGTTGAGCGCAGCACATCTAGTTAATTAGTCTGAATCCCTCTATATATAATTAATTAACAGATGAAACTGAAATTTGTTGAAGCCCTCCCCAAAATAATTTGCAGGGTCCCAAACCTCTTAATCAAATAGTAAATGCTGAACCTCAGATTAAAAACTTTTTTTGCAAACATTAATGTAGGTTGAATGTGATATTGGCTCTCGTCACCCAAACTTTTATACACATCTTTGCCTTTATTCAAAGCAGAAATTTGTACAAAATGAGAATACGCAATCAGTTTCCTTAAATTGTCAGATTTTGTATGATATTGTTAGTTTTCTGACAGATGGCAATTGGGAGAAACACACATTATAGCTGAAGCTATATAAATGGTGAGAAAAACAAAAACATACAAAATGTCAAAAACAATGGCCACGGAGAAGGGCACCAGGTAGCAGTTGTTCACGAAGTCGTTGCTGCCGACAGGGAAGGCACGCTGCGTGCGCGAGGTGGCTGAATCGCCGCCGCCTCCTTCTGGCTGTTCGGCTGTCCCATGGGCGCGAGCCGTGTCCATGACTTAGAGCCGCTTTGCTTGTCCGGCTTCCCACACCACTGCCGCCTCCTTCGTCCCTAGTCGAGCCTCGGGCTCCTTTGTAGAACATGAATTAACCGCATAAATCACATAAGTCAAGCATACTCAATTGATATACTCATAAGATATTATCTAAACATTCAATGCTTGAGCAAAAATCTCTACCGTGGAGGAGGAAGAGGAGGCGACCATGGAGATGGAACCGCTATCCGGCTGCGCAGGCGGTAGCGGCGGCGGCGGCGACGAGTCTCTTCTGCTTGGGCGGGTGAATCTTGGGTTCCCGGCGTTCCCTGGCCTTCCGAGGATCTTCTCGGCCGTAATCTGGATCGGCGCAGGGCACAGGACGGCTTCGCCGGATACCGCTGCCGGCGCCGCACCATGTCCGGGCAGGGCCATCGTGGCTGAATCGAAGGGCCCCTTCCCCGTTGAATCCGCCCTGCTCGTGCTGGAATGGAGGCGTGGTGGGGCAGCTGGCGTCGTGGGGAGACGAAGCGGTGGATGGCGTCGTGCGCGGACGGCAGTTCCGTGGCGGGGCGAAGCGCGCGGGCGGCGGTATTTAGCGGGGGCAGTTAGCGCGGCTAAGCGGGGATTAGCGGGGCTAAAACGATGACATTTGGGTCTTTTTAGTTGTAGAGATTTTATTTTATTTAGCAGATGGCGGCGTGGGGATTTGGGCTCGCGCGTCTCGTCAGCGTCCGAGTAGAGAAATGAGGTTGGGCTTTGGACCTGGGAACCTCATACTTATTTGGGCCACAAAATCTGGGGCTCACGCCCTACGTTTGCATGCAAAAGAGAGAGCAAATGGGCCGCCGAAGGCACAAAAGCTGTGTCTACACGGTGTCTAGTTGGAAAAAAGATCCATTTTACCTCTCTAAATTATCGTTGTAGTCTGATTGTTTCTTCCTAATTAAACTTTAAAACTGTCTATCTTATCCCTTCAACTTTTAAAATCATTCAAATTACCTCCTTGAAGTGGTTATCAAGGTGGTTTGGTCTCTTTTAGTTAAAAAACTCAATAAATACTTGAGAAGGTTTTTAAACCATAGAAAAATAAATTTAACCTTCTCAAAATTCTGAAAAAAATCTATCTATGTAATTATGATATGAAGAATCAAATTAAAATATTTAGAGCTCATGAAAATATATCCATAAGCTTCCAAAGAATAGATTTAGCTATAGAAAAATGAGAAAATATCCAAAAATCTGAAAACTTCCAAAACATTCTAATCAATGTCTAAATGTGCTTTAATACAAAAATTTGATATGAAACTAGCATGAATGCAACATACATTAATGTTGTATGGATTCATGCTATGTATTCGTGTTGGTTATGTCTTATCTTTTTATAAAAGTTTTCAAAAAAACATTTAGACATGAATTAGATAGTTTGTTGGAATTTTATAGATTTCTAAGGATATTGTTTCCATTTTTTTATAACTAAATTTATTTTTGGAGGATCCTAAAGATATTTTGATGAGCTCTAAATATTTCATTTAGATTATTCGTATCCCAAATCTATCTATATGAATTATGTTAGAATTTTTAAAATGATATTATGTGGTTTAAAAAAACTTATCAAGTATTTATTAAAAATTTTAAATAAAGAAAATAAAACCACATTACCCAAAGCAGGGGGGTAATTTGATTGGTTTTAAAAGTTCAGGGGCTAAGATGTTTGGTTTTGAAGTTTGACGAGAAAAATCAAACTACGACAATGGGAGATAAAATAGACCTTTCCCCTACAATTACCTCCATCCAACTATGTTTTGTTTCTCCACATATAAGTTGGGTTTTAATATCAATTTTTTTGATATGATAGAAGACATCATAAATTATGTTAGAAAAATATGTCTTCACCACTATTTTGATAGCTTAGAAAATTTAGTAATAAATTAACACTAGAGATATAATGTCATACAAACATAATGATGAAAATTTCATAATGTATTTTTCTAACACAAACTATGATGTTCTCTGTCACCTCACAAAATTTGAAACTAAAACTCAATTTGTACATAGGGAAACAAAAGAGAAAAATCTTTTTAAGGTATAGATTGGACCAACTTAAATAGTTAGAGAGAGTAAATTGAACCAAATGTTAGTCTACAGAGTTATCTGGACATAGGTCAAACTAGCAGGGAGTAATTTAGATTTTTTCACCTTTTTCATCTCCTATAACAAAGTTTTGCGTAATGCATATGCTTTCTAAACCGGCTTGTAAACATGAGGCCAACTGGCTAAGTCAGAGAGAAAACTAAGGTACCGTTTGGTTACCATGAGATTTTAAGTAATGCAGATAAAAAAATCTCATAATTCTAAAATCCCATTCAAATAGGCTAGGATTCTAATGGATTTTAACATTGGCCGTGCTAACGCTACGGTGACGTCTAAAATTATAAAACTAAAATTAATCGTAAAACTAAAAATAAACCAATTATGAAAGAAACATAAATTCATTGTCTCGCAGAGATCGGTCATTTCTCACACAGAAAAAATAAACACGCCCACACAACGCTACTAAGAAGGTGCAAACAAATAGAATTCTTATGCGGTTAACAACCTACACATCATATCGCTCCCTCGCGGGGCTCCTCTCCCGGCACATGATCCATTACACGTCAGAAAATTGAACATGTTAATTTAATACATTTCTGGTAGCATTTGGCTACAGCCGTCAGAAAAATCTTTAAGAATTTCCTAGAACATCGAGGTAGATCCAGACTGGTTGCCTCCATTCAGACTTGATCGTGCATCTTCTAAATCCTGCAACATGGGCAACAGAACCAATTTGGATAAGTTTCTTAATAGTGGAGTATTGCCCACAGAACCAATTGCACATTGGCAAGTATTTCTGTATTAATCATGATATGTGTTAAACAAATTGGTGGGACTGGCTGAAACTGGTACTGGCGCTGAAACTAAAACTGAAGCACGCAATCAGATAAATATATAGGAGTGCCTAAACTGAAACTGGCGCTGGGCTCGAGGAGAATACAGGGTGGTAGCCTAGCCTCCAAATAGACTCAACACAAGCACAGATGATGACTGAAAGGGAAACGGTGGATAACACCGCAGGCTGGCACTGCAAATTTGCATTGCCTGGACAAGTATAACAGACAAGAGGATATACTCGGAATACATACAATGGATTAGGTAGGATTAAGCACAAGAACGGTAGCTACTGCTTATTTTTATTTAGATTCTAAAAATCCAATGTGATCCAAATGGGACCTAAATTCTTCTGTGGCACGGACAGAGACTCAGAAGACTGGGGCAACGGGCCTCTATAGTATAGAAAAAAATATCTTTAGACGTTGGACGTGTTCACAGACTATGTTCATTTATTTTATGAGCCGTACTATTTCAGCGAACGAACAATATTGTTCTCTCGTAACAAATCAGCGAATAGTACTTTCAGCTATGGTTTTTCAGCAAAGCGAACATGCCGTATGTGTATGAAGGTCCAGGAATGCAAGTTCGACACAACCTCTATCATCGTAAAGCTCCAGCTATAATCCAGGCCACGTTGCGTGACAGTTCAGAGAAGCGCGCTACAAGCCGACTAGCCGAGCGGTGCCGCAGCCCCTGTGCGCGCCAATGCAATGCGACTATGCGAGCAATGCAAGCAGGTCGCCGTGCACGCCATGCCCCGAACATGCCGGTCTATCTCGGCACGCGTTGCCAGTTGCCGCCGCGCCACTGTTAGCGATAGATGTTACTGTTAGCTCCCCTGTCGTCTTCTGCTCGATGGAGCACACATCATCATCATCAGCTTCTTCATTGCACGTAGCCATCCATGTTGATCCATCCATCCACTGATCCACCATCGACGCCCAGCTGGGCACCTTATTTCTAACAGCTGTGGAGTTGTTAGTGGAGTTGTTATACTCCACTAACGGAATCACTAACAGCTGTGGGTGCAGTGATGCCTTCCCATGCACGCCACAGAATGGTCAGTGTCAGGTTCCGGTAATCATATAGGTGGTGTTCGCTGGTCTGACTGGTTTAGCCAGCCGGCTGAACACCCTCACAAGTTACTGTTTATCAAACCAACCGAACATTGTTTTTCTCTCACAACAAACCAGCTGGAACAGTGTTTTTTAGCCAAGTTTCAGACCAGCGAACGGGGCAATATTAGTCTTTTCCCATATGCAATGGCAAGCAGCAGAAAATGATGTCTTAACATGCAAAACAGCGTGGGGATATCAATATAAGAAGGCATGTTTGAACTGCGAAACATTGCTTCCTTCTTCAGGCATCAGGACAAACACTGGGAAGAAAAAAGGTTTCAACTCCCGAAACCTGAAGCCTCTGCTGGTCATTAGTCATTACAATTGTGATGCCTCCGATCCGTGACGTCCACAAAAACAGTCTAACCTCGCCGACAGTGTACATGTATCAACGAATGGCTGCGGCGGTCTCTGTCGGCCATTCGCTAGTAGTCCCGGTTCCTACGGAGGTCTTTAGTCTAGTTGTGGAGATTCGAATCAAGACCTCCTACTTTAGTTCTTGCACGCGCTACCATCTCAACTCTCAACACACATCTGACTTATAAGATACGTTTTTCTTTTAAATTTACCCCGGAGACACCTTTAGTCCAAGTTTAAGACATAAACAGGAACTAAAGTTATCTTTAGTCCGGGTTCGTGTCTCAAACCAGAACTAAAAGTCACACTTTTAGTCTAGGTTCGTGTCTCAAACTAGGACTAAAGCTTCTGCTACTGACACGTCTTGGTAACCGTTACAAACCGGACTAAAGGGTGGAATTATTTCCAGTTTATACTACAAACCGAGACTAAAGGTCCAGTCCTCCTTTTAATTATGGTTGCAATTTTTAAACCGAGACTAAATATTTTTGGCCATCCATGGAAGGTCGTTTCTCTATTGGCGATTGTTTTTGTGTTTCTGCCAACCTGTGCATACTTTATCATGAACATACGGTAGGCGTTCAGATGTTCCACAGCGCGGTAGACTTCCGATCAATAATGTCATCAGAGCGTCCAATGTTTCGATTGTCAATTGGAGGATATATAACTTCTTGTTGGTAAAAGTAAGAGCCTTTCGTCGGATGCATGCGTTGAAATTTCCAAGTCTGATCTGGCCATATCTTGCACCGAAAGAACAGTAACTATGGCCTGAATGAAACTGCTCTAGTCAATATGGAGATCGGCCATCGGACGTGACACCCTTCATTATATATAAAACCCTATATATGACTAAGAGGACCTAATCTATCTATAAGCATGTAATAATCATACAAGTTACAAAGGTTGAAATCAATGTTTTACTCGATCGAGCTGCTTTGCACTCCATTGCCATTCGTCCAATTAATCCTTTGTGTTGTCGAGTTGTGGCATGTTTTTTTTTTTTTTTGGAAACGGGTGGCATGTTTGTTT